TGTTAATGGAAGAAGAAGGCAAGAATCAGTCTTCTGTCTGCCTGATATCTACTGCTTAGCTTTCGGCCTACGTACCCTTACCTAGTTGACAGGTCTTCTTCTACACTGAGATGATGGGACTCGAACGCAAAAAAAAAAAAAAAAAGATGTCACGTTAAAATAAATACTAGTATAACCATGGTCCATGGGCTCTATTGGATCAGGTTTCATAGGCTTTCATAGTTACTGATTAGCTGAACCAACTTGCCTTGTATGAGGGTGATACCGAGTGTTCCTTTTGTAATGTATTGCCTCAAGGGTCAAGTAAAAGTGTGAAGCGCATCATTTCTTTGTTGCTTTGGTATTTCAATGGATATCACCCATAATATCTTCTTCAATGTCACCTCCGCCGGCCGCCTCGTTGAGTGCGTTGACGTTGCCTTTTCCAGGGTTGTCAGACCACCTCAGACTCTTTTGTGAAAACAGAAAATGCTCATTGCTCAGCTCCAGCTCATGGTTGGATTGGCAAATACTTCGCCTTATAACACCCAATTGCCGACCCTCTTTCACTATCCTCCCCCGTGCACACTGTTCCCGCGAATAGAGGGATTTTATTGGATTGGAAAATCGAAGCATTGTCGTGTCATCGTAGTTATGTGATTGTAGCAGGACAGCACTGAAAGCCCCTGACATTACAAGTGATGCCACTAATGACTCAACTTCACGGAGTGATGAACAATCGGACGCCTGTTGTGTCACATCCGCCATTGTGAGGGCAGAAAACGTCCTCCCTAATTTCAGGGTCATGCATTTTGTAAATGCCTTGATTACTTGGTGGACAAGGCCGGTGTTATTGTCCTAGATATCAATAAGCACATCAAGAAAGCAGGCACCACAAAAGTCAAGAATTCCAGTCCATAACTTACTAGACGCCAAATAGACTGTGCAGCTTCAGCTTTTAACCTTTGATAATCACCCTTTTCGAATGCATCGGCCAGTGAGGTATATGGCTTCACCAAGGACTGATATGCTCTGATAACATGCGAAGAGACTACATCCGGGTGTGCGGCCAACTGTCAAAGAACGATACCAGTTAGCTGGGAGGCTGCACACTTATATGGATGGTATCTTCGCCAGGGAGGTTACTTTTCCATTTCTCAACAGGCTGACCAAGAGCCACTTTTTGTACCCTTCTACCATGATCTTGCTGACAGTATTTGTGACAGGACAGGATATCACTATGCTCAGATAGTGATGGGCCCTATCCCATCTTTTTAGCGCCATGTATATCATTGCACCATAAAGAAAAAACTGCAGATGGTCTCTGTATGTCAACTGCTTGGAAAACCCAGAAGCATCAGTGATAAATGCTGTGCTAGACTCGTGTTCCCCACAAAGCAAAGGCTGATGATAGTTCTGATAAGCATGTCCAGTAACGGCCGGAAAATGACAAACTTGTCTCTCCAGAATTGGCACAGCAAGGCTATACGACCTAGACACCAAAGTGAGTTTAATAAACGTAGTGTGAACTGACGTGAGGACCTCTGATGAGGGGTCGAGTCGAAGTATGGCATCCCTGACAGCTATAACTGCCAGGAGTGGCTTTTGCGCGATAGTAGGTTAGCGTAATGATCAAAACAAGTAATGTTTACTATTACCTTCGAGACAGCCTGCGCAGCCTGGACTACAAGTTGTACTAGCTGGCGCCATTCGTGACCAGCATACCGTATCTGAAAAGGATCAAAGCTTCGTAAAAACCGAATAGCCTTGAGCCATAGTTCTCGTCCGGGATAAATTTGCTCGGGTAGCCGGCCCTTGTTGCTGCCCTGGAGGGACTGGATCTTAAGAAGGAAAATTGATAGGTAAGACAGGGTGTGTAGATAAGGATCGAGGTTCTGTAAACGCGCAATGGAGATTGTAAGCTAGCGAAATCCCCGCACCTGAAGGGGGAAGACTGTATCCATTCCCATCTCCCCCCTAACCCTTTTTTAAAATGCCTTGGCTTACATCTAGTAGATATCCACTGGCCGCTGAAAGCTCAGAAGCCCTACTTGGCTGCTGAAGGTATGTGATGAGGTCACGGATTCGCCTGTCATAGTCTTCATCGGAGCTTCCTGATGACACCGAGGTGAGTTGTGACAGAAACTCGGCCATTTCTCATATGCAGACTGGATTCCAAAGTCCAGTCTGGGAGAATAGTGTAGTCTCAACGCCCAGAAAAGTTGCAATCTGACAGCTTGTTGAAAACAGGTCATTCGATGCTTTGTGGACGAAAAGAGTATGACGCTACCGGCTTCATAGTCAGATCAAGATTATACACCGCCTGCTTATTTTGTTTCCAAACCACCCCCTCTTTTTGACAATCTACGGGGTATTCCCCACCACAATCGGGTGAGTCAGTTTAGCGCGTGCCCGTGAGTCCTCCAAAACACTCCTTCGAAAAAATTCTAACCGCCGCAGTCCTTAAAATCATTGCTCAATTGGTCTTATAACGGCATTGATACTTTTTTTGCGTTATACTTGAATCGTGGCACTGACACAAACACACACACATACATTCTCTCTCTCCCCCATCTCTCTACATCGAAGTTCGCACAGATGTCCCTTACCGAGTCTTCTGCTATTGATATCGCTAGGACTGCTTCTCTAGCATCTCGACGCTTGGCAACTTTATCTGAAGCCGACCGCAATGGAGCTTTGACGGCACTCCACGATGCGCTGTTAAGAAATAAGAATTATATATTGGAGGCAAATGCGAAGGATGTCGAGATGGCGAATCAGGCCGCTGCAAGTGGTAATTTAAGCCAAAGTGTTCTTAAGAGACTTGACTTGTCACGACCAGGAAAGTACGATGATATGCTGAAGGGCATACTTGATGTCCGGGATTTGCAAGACCCGAGTAAGTATATCGAATGATTATGTAACTATTACTGACTATGTCGAAGTTGGACATGTGACTCTGAGGACACTGCTTGATGACGGCCTAGTGCTTGAAAGAGTGAGCTGTCCTATAGGTGTTCTGTTGATAATCTTCGAGGCTCGCCCTGAAGTTATTGCGAATATAGCTGCATTATCAATAAAGTCGGGAAATGCTGCAATTCTGAAAGGTAGGTGTTCAGAAGAAGCTCGTGGCTTGTTCTATCCCACTAAAGTCAGAAAGGCGGCAAGGAATCTACGGAGTCTTTTGTTGCTATCTCGCAGGTTATTTCGGACGCCATATCGAGTACCCAGGTTCCTAAATCGTCGGTGCAGCTTGTGAAAACGAGGGATGCAATTTCTTCTTTACTAGCCCAAGACTCATTAATCGATCTTGTCATACCTCGCGGGTCGAATGACCTCGTTCGATTCGTAAAGGACAACACAAAGATTCCTGTTCTCGGACATGCTGATGGTCTTTGTTCCGCATATCTTCATTATGATGCAGATCCGGAGGTTGCAATCAAGGTCATTGTGGACTCGAAGACTGACTATCCAGCTGCATGCAATGCTCTAGAGACATTACTTGTACACCAAGATGCTCTTGAGACCATATTTCCTGCCATTGCAGATGCCTTGCTCTCTAAAGGAGTGTCTCTTCGCTGTGATACAGCAGCCAAGGTTGCATTAATCAAGACCTTGCCGGCTGCGCCGGGTCATCTGCTCCAGGATGCTATCGATTCGGATTATCGCACCGAGTTTTTGGATCTCATCCTCGCAGTAAAAACGATAACTACAGCGCCACCCGGAAGTTCGTCGGTTGAAACTGCGGTCGCCCACATCAATTCACACTCCTCTAAGCATACAGATATTATTTTGACAAGGTCAAAGGACATTGCGGATATTTTTATGAAAGGTGTTGACAGCGCTGGTGTTTTCTGGAATGCATCGACAAGATTCGCAGATGGGATGAGGTATGGGTTTGGCACGGAGGTTGGTATCAGCACAAATAAGATCCATACCAGGGGACCTGTAGGGTTAGATGGCTTAACCATCTACAAGTATCTGATCCGGGGAAATGGTCATCGAGCATGTGATTATTCTGAAGGGGGGAAAAGATGGAAACATCAAAGCCTAGCACTCTAGTTGACTAGTTCAGCTCGTCCAGTATCTGAGATCATCTTTGGTATAAACTTCAATTTTCATTCAGCTCCAACTCCTCTACCTGAAATTTCATTCATATCCGTAAGAGTCGCTGCCGTATCAGCTAAAGAGCTTTGGAAGCTAGCCGTATTTTTTCTAGGTGAAAGGTCAAGCATAAGATCACAAAGCCCTGCGCATGTATTTCCATGGCTATGACAGTTCCGACCCTGATACAAGATATTTTCGTAATAAGCTCCTTTAAACCTTGAAGCCACGAGACCTTCTCCTTCCACGGGCCCTCTCAAACTTGCGTCCCTTGCTTCGCACATAGGGTTTCTATGGAGCATTAGTCCTAATTCGTCTCATTGTGTCCTCCTAGGAAAGTATGCCCTTTTAAACAAGGAAAATGCAAAATAAAAAAAAGGAAGAAAACTTGCCTTGTGGCTATGAGGACCAAAACCGAAGTGCTTGACGGCCTCACGAGCGTTCTTGGGTCCGCGGAGGAGAAGTGTGTTCGCTCCAGTAGGAGCCCGGAGAGCAAGCTGGTCCAAGGTCAACGTCTCTCCACCGGCCTTCTCGATCCGGGCTCTGGCAGTAGCAGTGAAGCGCAGGGCAGCCACAGACAGCTTCGGGACGTTAAGCAAGCGGTTGTCGTCAGTGACGGAGCCGATAACGACAATTGTCTTGCCCTTGTGCGCATCGGTCACGTTAGAAGCGATACGCGACAGAGAAACAGGTGGGCGGTTAATCCTCGACATGAAAAGACGACGCAGCACGACCTTGTTGAAGTTGGAGTCCGTGCGACCTATTTAAGACCACTAATCAGTTTTCCGTCGTTTTATGCCACTGGAATGGTCTCCTTCATACGGGCGAGGAAGCGATAGAGCTTCACCAAAACTTGCAGATAGACATTCTCGCTTTTCGGCGCCTTGCGATGGCTGCTACGCACATGGTGGCGATCCAAGTCGATACCTGCGCTCGAATGTTAGCTTCATATATGGTGTAAAATGACCTGAACAATGTTTTCGAATGCGTATCTGATAACATAATTCTGCCGGAATGGTGTGTGGTGATATGTGAATGTAAACGTACCCATGGCTGCTAAGACTGATGGGACACCTGGGAGTTGGCTAGCTCTCGCACCCGTATGCAAAAACGAAACTCTTGAGGTTTTTGATCTACGATTTTCAGACGGACGGTGTGCGCGGGTTGAGCCCTAACCTAGAGCAAATCGGGAAGTCTTGGGGCAAATTTTGGCACCTGAAAACTAAGGCAATGAGAACTTTGTAGTGCGTTGCTCCACTATCCCCTAGAGGGAATGTTTGCTTTCATGCCGAGGTGCGTACCATTGGATGAGTACAATTTACTAGTACGTAGTAGGGCACCACCTCAATGAAATACTAGCAGCAGGATTAAGGTTTGTGAATGGCAGAAACTAAGGGCCTACGGAGTATAGTAATTGAAGGAGGGCTCCGCTGCATTAATAGAACTAACCCTACTTTCAATAAAAGCACACTTCACTCATTCACTTACACTCTATTTTTTGCAGTTTGTTTAGTATCTTCCTCATTTTTTCTCACTCCTTGCGTAGTGTAAAATTTGCGGACAAGCTAGATACACCTATAGCCATATAGCATGTTTCATATCATCTTCAAATGAGGCAATGTAGGACCTTGCATAGGTTCCTTAAAATAGCCATCAACTGGTTCCCACATCTAGACCATCTGGTATAAAGCGATGCTCATGTGGTAATCCTCCAAGCTACGACACCAAAGGCGAAACTTAGGGATCGGCGAAATATCCCTTCCGAGTCATGGCGATATCATTTGTCATTCAGCTGAACAAGAAAGTCCCTCGTTAGCTCAAAACTGAGCCAACTACTCGCCATGCTCGGTGCCACTTTCAAAAGATTGGGGACGATTCCTTTAAAAAGACCACGCGTTCCCTCTTCTGCAACAATTACTTTCACGGCGTCCCAGACGGATGCATACTGATAACCCATTCCAGACATTGTATTGATCTGGAAACGCCGCCGTAGAACATCACTAGCGACCAGTTAGTGCAAGGGAGGGATGGAAAGAGTCATGAGAACGTTGGAAGTCTGCAAACAATCTTACAATGGATAAGTACATGTTTGAGCCACTGCTCCTGAAATAGCGCCCGCTAGTAGCTTACGCAGTGAACTAGGAGTCTTGTCACCGTCGGGAGTCAAATACTTTCGAACCGATTCGTATGTCATGAAATTCAAACCAACCTTGGAATTATCAGTATATTGTATAGTGCCAAGAGCGTTACAGAACTTACATATGGGGCGACGCCGGCCACGGTAGGAATGATTCCGCGATAGAGCGCCAAAATACCACCCTCGGTCTTGTATATTAAGACCATAGTGCCGAACATGCCCGGTAGCTTCCCGTTGCCATCGCGCTGACTGAGCGCTGCGAACGACGCTGATTGGATAGAAAGACGTGTCCGAACAATGTCAAGAGGATAAGTTATAGTGACTGATGTAATTCCAGCGGCGCCTCCGCAAATGAGCCGGCGTACTGGTGACAATTCAGCATCCGGAGTTGGTTCTGCAAACTAAACTGCAAGATAAGCATATAACTTAATGAGGGAGATGGTACATAATATAGAATACGAAGAGCGTTGGATGACTTACCCTTTTGTAAAAGTTGTAACTTCCGAATTGAACTGCAGAGTAAGGGATTATCCGAATGCAATTGGTACCATTGCCCCGCATAAACCCTCTCCATCCTTCCTCTTTGCCGATCTTCACAAGAGCCTTCCATAGAGACAGCTTGTACTCTTCCCTGCCAACACTCTGTATTTGAAGCAGGATTTTTAGTCGCTCAAGTGGCGACACGATGGTTCTGGATACTGCACCTGCCACACCCCCAGCAATGAAAGCTGCCATGACAGGTTCCGAAATTCTGCCCTTAATTTTACCAACGAGTTTGCTGCTGTTTCCCGAAGACGCTTCCTAGAAACTCGTTGAGCTATGGGATTTGTTTCTTTTTTTGATGATTGGAATGTACTCATCCTACCTTGATCGAAGCTGAAGTCGGCGGCAGCTGGGTTAACTTGGCCAGGGTATTGTCCCTTGAAGTCTTTGGCTCATCGTGACGAACCGATTCCTGACGATCCAGACTCATGTTGTAATGAACGATTTACGGAAACAGCAGAGGTACCCCGAATTGCTCCTAATGAGGGGTTTGGAGTTTGAAACTCAGGTATATCGACGGCTGACTTGTTTTTTTGGGAGACTCCCCTTTACTAGCCCTTATGTATGTCGGTGCCGGAGCTCTCAAAGTCAGCGGACGCTCGAACCTATATTATGAAATGGTCACAGCAGGAAATCCTTCTGGAATTCGTCTCGCTGACGTCGCACAGGCCATAAATAGACATAGGTCGACTGGAAAATCAAAGTGCCATGGCCAGAAATCCCGACTTTTGGAAAGAAGCTTGCGAAGAGCACGCAGCGGAAGCAGTAACAAATAATACAACTGATCGTTAGGTGACAACTAGATTATCATCTGAAAGAGAAGTTGGGTACCGGAAATAAGGAAATGTATAAAACGCTCTTCAAGGCTAATGAGTGGTTCTTTTCAACATCGAGGGAAAAATGAATCAAAGACGCGCTGACCCAAACGAGGCATCATTGCGGCGGCTTGTCGAACATTAAACCGTGCCTAAGACCGCATTTAGTCCCGTCCATTAGTGTCCAGGTGTCAGGGATAGGTGGGCCGAGCCACATGCTTTGGTAATTTTACAACAAAAGCAAAACCCGTTGTATGCACAACACATAGTATAAAGAGGTATGCATGGCCATATATATTGGGGATTAAGTATCTGATCTCATGGAATCTTAATATCAAAGATCCTCATCACGTTGGCATACCGTTTCATGAAGACCTAATAACACTGGGATGCACCACTGATGTTAAATATGTATTAATGGTACAGAACACAGCATAGGACATATATAGTAGTATGTACAGAAACTGTACAGGTCACTATACTACTCAGCACAATTCTATATGGAGAGCTTGAAGTACAGTACTATTGTTGTACGTACGTAGGTGTAGTATGTGGTGAATGAGATATAAAGCAACTACAGAGTACTCCGTTCATTACTACTACAATTGATCACAGTTGGTAAGTATGTATGGAGTACATAGTTGTGGTGGATGTGGATACTACATACCGTATTTACGGAGTACATGTCTTAAAATTACTAATTATTCAAGGGGCTTTTCATGGCTGTGGCTGAGTTAGTTCGCTTGTGGCATGTGCACTTTCCTGTAGTCTTGTTCGAAACTTGTCTCTCGTTCCTTTACCATTCTTGTTCTTATTTCCACCCAACCTCGTTAGCTAGGCTAGGTTTGTCCTTGTGTCAATACATTATCTTCTAACTTAAACATAATATCGCTGGTGTATACAAAGAGATATCCGACTTTCCTACACAATGTCTCGTCCTGGCACCACGCTCTATGTCACCGGTTTCGGGCACGGAACTCGAGCTCGCGACCTTGCCTACGAATTCGAACGGTATGTGCCGCTCGTCGATTGCCTACACGCTACCATGACTAGACGACTCGTTTCCATCTCGCAATCTACACCTCGGTTGATCCTCGCGATGTCGACGTTGGAGCAAGACCTCCCTTACTGTCCTGAGCTTGGCTTGTTGCATTACTCGTCGTCTCCTTGATATACATACATTCCCTTCGAAGACTCATTATCGCCCTGGCACTTTTGCTACCTATTATAACCTGTTTATACACTTTTGTCTTTGGTCATTGAGCAATATTATCTTAGTTGTTTGTTTACACCCGCTAGTCTTGGTTCTAACCTAGCTTTAGTTACGGGCGCCTTGTCCGGTGCGACATTCCAGCACCACGTACTCCTTCCAGCAGACTGTGCGTTGGGACATACCCACTCCATTCTTGACATTCTCCTCTAACATTATCAAGTTTTGCCTTCGTGGAGTATGAGAGCCGTCGTGATGCCGATGATGCATATCATGAAATGCATAACAAACGAATTGGACGGGATGATTTATTGAAAATTGAAGTGAGTGCCGCGGTATCTAGTCAGAAACCAATTTCTAACGCGTGCAAAGTGGGCTCGCACTCCGCCATCTGCATCTTGGAGGTTTGATTCTGGCCGAGACCGTCGGCGCGATCGTACACCGCCACGCCGTGGTCGTTCACCGTCACCTCGCCGTGCCCGCGGCGATTATTCTCCTCGTAGGGACGACAGGTACGAACGGGAATACGACCGACATGATCGTGATTATGACCGCCGCGACCGGGATTATGACCGCCGCGACCGTGACTATGATCGCCGCGACCGTGACCGCGAACGCTCTCGTGACCGTTCTCGCAGCCCTGACGAGAGAGAGCGTGATATCAAGGATGATAGGGAACGCCGTGACGATGAACGTGAACGCCGTGACGATGAGCGTGAGAATGGCCCGAATGGTGAAGACAGAAAAGGTATGAACTTCTGAATGATAATCACTTTTACCCAGTCTCCCTCGTCGTTACTTATCAATTAGTCCTTCTAGACCCTTTAACTTCTGCCCATGATGAACTTGACACTGCTGAGTAGGTTACCTTCATTCCAAATTTATGGTACTAGCACCCTGTTGGTTGTCATGGTCTGAGCCGTGGAGACCGAAGAAAAAGCAAAGGAAAAAAAAAAAAAGGAATGCAGAAAGAGAAAAGAGTAAGGAAGAAGAATTTAAGAGAGGTGGAGAGAGCTACTACCAGCTCTTGTTTTACATTGATGGTTTGGCCATTATGGGCATAGTGGTTCCATGCCATGAGATTGCACCGGTATTTGATCAGATTCTCTGTCGCCTCCCTGCTTTTTGCTATATTGCCTCCCCCTTCCCCAGCCCTCCTTAATGCCCTTAATTCGTTTTACCGCAGTTTTTCTTTTTTCTTTTCATTATCAGGGAAACCGGATGAGATAGAAGGCGAACAAAGAAGAGCCAGGCCTAGTGCTGTGGTGATGGATCGATCTTACTGGGATCTTAACTTGGTGAATCCACGTTGAAATTTTTGTCAGCGGCTCGAATTTTTCCCGAACGCCCGTCGAGCGATCGTTTCTTCCCCCGTCCCGCCCACGCCAGTGTATGTCGTCCTTTTGTCCGTCACGATCCGCAGCGGTCCGTCATACGTCTAAATCGCTGTTTAATATGAAGACGATTAGCATTCCCTTTAGCCGTCCTGTACGACCGGTCGTTGCGAGTTCCGGAAACCGATAGTAATGTAGAGCAGAGCATGTGTATGTTCGTAGTACCTGGATCGTAAGGAAACATGAAAGTGGGATGCACTTCCTGGTGATATGCTCCCCTATGACCTATTAATGGTCTGCGCAGCTTAATCGCTGAATTGCTTTACAAACTATGTTGATCTAGCAGAAGCACGTTACGGATGAATGAAGATCCAGAAATGCCGGTTCAAGTATGGCTCGTTATGTTATAACCATTAACTGTTGGTTGCGTAGATTGCTTGTACTTCTCCCATGGCTGAAGCCATTTGCAGGTCATATATGTAAAAGGAAATGAGATAAAGTGTCAATGAATAGAATTTAAAGCATTGACGTAAAGGGGGGTTCTGCCTCTTCTAAGAGTTGATCTTTACGAACATGTCCGAAAACTTATAGCAGGTTAATAAAGCTGCACACATGGAAACGCAATAGTCATTCAGAAGGAAGAAAACTGGAAATGGCTGAGGATGGAATAGGGTGACACTCTCCCCATCATAGCACAATATAACTCTCATAATGGGCTTACTCATTGCATCTTCTCATATGTAGCCATAAGGGAGCCTTGTTCACTATGGTTAGCTTTTTACATTGACTCAATCAAGACCAGTTCAGTGAAGACAAACTCACCAATGAATGTAGTCACTAAGCGGGAGCGGACCTGGCAAATATCTTCAGGAACCAACCAGATCGTTGCACCTAGCTTTCTTGCTATACTGATGCTCAACTTGGCATTTGAGTATGCTTCTTCGTCACTGCGGCCTGGGGTTACAATTTCATAGTCCACGTAGCTACTCTTCATGCCGTTAAGCACGTCAAGTAGGAAGATTCCCGAGCCAATCGACTGGTCCTTAAAATTGCGTATCGACGAAGTCCTGCCGCCTTTGCGGGACATGTCATTTGCCCACCGAATCATCTCCGAGTCCGTAATCTCAAGTTTACCCATCCGCTGCGCCAAGCTCGACAGTGTATTTGTGATATCTTTCCGCATTAGTTGCCACACTAATCCCAGTGTAAGAGTACGCTGTCCATCGGTGATATCAGCCCCCTGAACACCAACAAGAGAAAAGCCGATATTCTTTCCAAGCTCGGTGGCATAATTGGTATTCTCTACCGCTTTGAAACGCATCATTTCACCACCAGATGTTGGTGGTCTGTTGACATGCCTCCAATTAACACTTCCAGGAATTACTTTATCATAGGCCTGGAGGAGAATAGTGCCATCCCGAAGATCATCAAAGAGAGAGTTAACAGCTGGTTGGACATCCAATGAATTTAACCAGAGCGTAAAGACTCTAGCTTCACGTTCCCCCTCAGCATCGAAGTCTTCGACCTCGAGCTTCTCTTCTTCAGTGATAGGGTCGAGACCTGGAATCGTGTTAAACAAATTGGCTACAAAAGCAAGGTTAAGTTTAGGGTTTCCAGCAACGAGCGAGGTTGGGGTCAAAAACTTTCGACAGCCCAGTTTGTCGGCGTTAGCTAGAACTTGCTCAGCACGCTGAAGCAAGTCCTGTGTTTGCAAGGGACCTCGTGAACAAACATCAGGTGCCAGTTGGCTGAGAAGAACTGTATAATTTTCACCATCTTTCACATCAGTTGAAAAGTTTGTCACCCTGCAGTACCGGTTAGTAAATGTCTATGCATCCCCTGGTTATCCCTTGAAAAAAACAGGATGGCAACATACTGTCTGTTCCATTTCGCGTTTTTCAGATGATAATTAAACCAACGCAACAATATCTGTTCAGGAGGCAGACGTAAAAATTGCTCCAAGGTTTCATCTTCTTCAAGAAGTCTATAAAGCTCAGGGTGGAGCTTGATATCAATTTTGCCCAAAAGACCCCGGCGAATGATCTGCCAGATTAGGCCAAGGATGAGGTGTTCGCGCACTTCTATGATATCACCACTTCCAATATTCACAACTGAGCAACCAATACCCTTAGCCGAGTTAATCACTATATTGTTATTCTCGGACATGTGGAACGCGTTCAATTCCTTGATTTTCTTTCCTGGCTTGTTCAAGACACGCTCGTCGATCGTATCCGGAACACTGTCATTGATCAGTTTTGCTAAAACCAAGCCGTCTTTACATTTATCGAACATCTCGAATGTATCGGTGGCGAACGGCAGGAAGTGACCAATGTCCGGGTCGCCAGCAAGAACAGCATTGATGTGTCTCGTGAACTCGGTCCTTTCATCCTCATTAATAGTATGAGTTACGTTTGCCGATGAACCTTGGACATGAATTCTTCCCCCTATGCTGCCTTTGGAGACATGGCGAGATGAGCCAGCGCCATTACCGGGTACTACCGCGGCGGTACCTGCAGTGCTGGCAGACCCGCTTTGCCCGGGAGTAGAGCGCAGCTTGGAGATAAGCTGTTCCACTGTCTTAGTTTCTCTATCGTTTAATAAAAAAAACATCGGCTCAAAATGGAAATACTAACATCCACGTAGTCTTCAAGTTCTACTCGGCGAGAGCTATCCAGTTCAACCTCCTTTAGCGCCTGCCGTACGATGTCATATGGCTGGCGCTCTGCTTGTTGAGTAGCTTTGATCACGGTCGCTTCATCCAAGTAGCCTTTGTCATCAACATCTAACTTTCGAAAGGCATCTTGAAGAGAAAAGATTTCGCCCTGATCAAACTGTGGGAACTTCCTATAGGCAAGACCATGAGAATAAGAACCGATTGCTCAGCAAATGTTGTAGGAATAAGACAGACTTCTCTGCATAGATAGTCCAGCAATTTCCAAGAAGAATTTTACAGACCTTTGAAGCTTGAGGACGTTCATTATTGCCTTTCTTACTCGCCACGCTGGCGGATATCCAACGGAGTGGTTTGTAGGTTATGCTATGGAAAGGCACTGACCAGGAGGTCAGCAAATGATAGCCGAGGGTGACAGAAGGTCTGATGTCTTCGGAGATGTCAAGGGACGATTGTCAATTGAAAATGACGGCGAAGCAAGCCGAGGTGAGCGCTGTCCGTAATTCGGTAGCCTAGGACTTCACTTGAGATGGTTTGCGTTGGTTTCCCCTGGATGGCGGAGTGGGATTTGGTGGAAAGCGGAGTGGGGTTTTTGGGCGCTAGTAGGAGAATGGTGATGACGCGGGGACGAGCTGGGACGACAAATCTCTTCGGTATAAGAGTTACGAAAGCTATTTAGGAACTGAAAGGTCTAGTTTATTTATATTGTTTTAGTTATTCCACCACATTGACATTGTGAAACCCACCCCTTGTGTTACCTTACAAATAGTAGATGATTGAATGCATGGATGATTCATACTACTGTTCAGATATTGGGGATGACGCATGATGATGTCGTCCCAAATTTTTCGTGCCGCTAGGGCCATTCTACTGGTCCAATCCATCTCTACCTGTAACTATACTGCACCTCTAGCTGAGACGGTACTTACCTACTAGTAGTAACTATTACTATCATTCATTACCTTACTACTCATAGGAAGTGAGGAGGTACCACTACACGAATGTATGTACATACATACTACCAATACTAACTGGCACCTTCGCCATCCTTTCTGGTTAGACATCAAGCTATAAATTTGAAATTTTCTTTCTCCCTTGCAGCGTTTCTCCATCTCTAGGATTATTTCTTCGCTTCTGGGATTTTTAGACACGTTGCCTTAAGGTCAGCATGCCAAAACTTAAGTTGATTAGAATTAGATCCTTCCCAGTTACTCAGTGCCCCACAGCTGTTCCTCTTTCTGTTCTTTTTTTTTCTTTTCTTTCTTTTTTTAGTTCCCTTGGCCCTGGAACTCTGACAGCCTAGTTAAGCACTGGTATATCACCCATATACTACTGCATAACTCGGATTTTGTCCCTCAAATGAAGGAGGGTGCGGGAAAGAAGAAAAGAAAGACAAAAAGGGAATCGGGTCTGCAGGTTCTGATCCCGGACCAATCCAGAGTGTTAAATCCTGGATAACTATTGACAACGCTTAGACTTATCAATCATATCTTAAATTCAACCTCCGCGTGGTCTCTCACCGGCCAGTCGTTCCCTTTTAGCGTCGTTCTCATTTGGCACCAGGCAGTAACTTCGTCGAGTTGGCTCGCACTTCAACTCTTCGGGCTCTTCAGAGCTCAATGTCAAAGGAGAGTAAGAGAGGGACATTCCTGGGGGCGATCTCTCCTTGGAATGTCTCTAGGAGCACAACGCCTCAACCCGACAGTGGCTGTAATGATACGCCAGACATTTTGCAACGCTCTCAAGGCCAAGACCACACAGTCACTCACCGGCATCACCTTAGTCCACAGCGCTATCCCAAAGACTGCCCTTCCTTGCGGGTAAGGTGGTTTTATGCTGTGGACTCCCCAAAATGGAAACCCTCGCTCTCGGAGCAAAAGAAACACGCATCAAAACCTCTTCCCCCTCCCAAGAAGTTCGTTCCGTTTTCAGTCAAAGATTCTCAGACCATTGAAATAGCATTTCAAAATCTAGCCGCTGTCGAGGGTGGAAAAGGCGAAAATAAACCTAACAATGCCACTGGGGAGGCCCAGGAAATCACAAAGGTACCTGTCAATGAAGACTATCTCTTCGATGTGGATGTAGAGCGAAGGGAGCTCAGTCCAGCATATTGGATAGGCCCCATATACGAAGTTCGTCGCGGAACATGGTTTGTCCAGGACGGCTCCGCGATCAAGCCATGCGAAGAGAACCTCGCCACCCAACTTGAGGAGGGCTATCTAAAAGTTAAACCGTGGCGCTTTGAAGAAGTCGAAGGTTCGTAATCTTGATCCTTAAGGTCTTCCTAAGGCCTGTGTAACCATGGCCCTATTTCAAATGCGCAAAGGCATAAACTCACGCTGCTCTTAGAGCCCAGCACGTTGCGCGATCGTACTGAAAATGCTGGGCATATGACCCACGTACCTTCAAATGGGCTCCACACATATCGCCTATTTGGTGCCTACATGAATAGCTTAGTGACATACCAGGATTCCTCCACAGCTTTACTGACAAATGATGACTTCATGTCCCGTGTGAGCACCACGGTATACCAGAAGCTGGGTGGGGTGGCAGGTACACGATTAGTACGCGGATTTTCTGAGACAAAAAGACAGAAGGAAGCACCTGATCCCAGAAACCCCAACCGAAGATCAAACCAGGGTTCAGTCTTCACTCCCGAAGCACGCCATTCAGATCATCAGGATCACCGTGTACTGGAAGGCATGAAACCCGGAGTGATGGATTCTCATCTAGAAAACAACAGCACCCCTGGGATAAACCAGAGATCGACTCTCGAAAGACAGATGTCATCTCTCGCTGGCGAACCGCAGAATGCGGCTGAGATCGAAGAACAGGCTCGTAGACAAGAAGAGAGGGAGATGGAGGATTCGAGACAGGGCGATGGTGATGATAGAGACCGAGAAATTGACCATCTAGTTCTTGTTACCCACGGGATTGGGCAACGACTTGGGCTACGGCTAGAGAGTATCAACTTTATCCATGATGTGAATGTCCTACGGAAGACCATGAAAAATGTGTACAAGGTGTCTCCTGATCTTCAGGCCCTCAACTCGGCATTTGGAGATAAACACGAGAATTGTCGTGTCCAGGTACTCCCAGTGTAAGTGATTCCATATAGATTCAATCTATCAAGCCGATACAATAATCCCCCGGCCCTCTAGCGCGCTCCTTTCGATGAGAAAGAGGAAGAAGACCCGAGGAATTGAGCCACGCTGTTAAGCCTTCACTAATCTATGCTAGATGCTGGAGGCACCTCCTCGATTTTCCCTACCGAGGGGTGAGGCAAAATCGCAAAGAGCTGGATCTTGCAGACGCAGACATTTTCGAAGATGAGCCCTATCCCGGGTTAGCTGATATTACACTCGATAGCGTACCCGCAGTTCGCAATTTAATATCTGATTTAGCAATGGATGTGCTTTTATACCAGAGTGCGTACTGCGAGCACATATCGACCATAGTTAAGCAGGAATGCAACCGAATTCTCAAAATATTCAAAAAGAGGAACCCCTCTTTTAGAGGATCAGTGAGTCTCTGTGGGCATTCACTCGGCAGTGCCATTCTCTTTGATATCCTGTGTCGTGAAAAATGCCCAGCTGGATCTCAGGGACCATCTGCCGCTATGGGACAGCAAGATAATTCACCAGCAACTTTACAAGACGGGCAACTAGAGTTTGAGTGCAAGGAACTGTTTTGTTTGGGCTCTCCAATCGCACTATTTCAGATGCTGAAAGGGAAAACTATTGCTGGTCGATCCATGCCGGAAAGTAAAGCAACTAAAAATACGTTTTATGTGGATGGAAAAGATACAACTGCCGAACCATCACCCAGCCAGGCTAACACAGGAATGGCGCCTGATGATGACCATTTCCTTGTTTCTTCTCCGAAGTGCGAGCAGCTTTACAATATATTCCATCCTTCTGATCCCGTCAGTTATCGCATAGAGCCGCTTATATCACCAGCAATGTCTTCGCTCCGGCCACAGCCTTTGCCGTCAGTAAAAAAGAGCCTTTGGGCATCCTCTGGACAAAGCCTTTCAATAATTGGAAGCCGTGTCGGCCAAAGTGTGGGGTCTCTGTGGACCAATTTCACGACAGGCGTCGCGAGTAGCTTGCTTAATCGCAGTCTTGGCCTTAATTCCGAGGATATTCCTCAGAACACCCCAACCTCTGCCACCCTGTCGCAGCCATCTTTCAACACAGATGCGGATCTCGCAAATAGACTTGATCGGCATCCCACACTTATAGACTCGGACTTAGAGACGCTTTATGAGGGCTTCCAAAAAATCAAAGGTGCACCTGGGAAGAATGCGTCTGCTCCTGCAAGCGACGAAGCTTCTGAACATCCGGGGAACGAACTTCGTATGAAGAGATTAAGGACCGAGGATGCAAAGGTGAGGTCCTTGAATTCGAACGGTCGAGTTGACTATAGCATACAAGAGTAAGACTCCCTATGGCACCCGTCCAACCTCTAACATAATGGGAACGCTAACTCCACAAACCCAGAGGGGCTTTTGATATATCCATGATTGCGAGCATCGCCAGCCATTTGACGTACTGGGCTGATGAGGACGTTAACCATTTCATGCTTTCACAGATGTTGTCCAGGAGGGTTCCTCCACGGGAAGCCTGATTGAGACAGCCTTTACGTTTTATGGGGTTTCACGTGGCTTTAGGGAGGGGAAACCAGGACAATACAATCTATGCTCTACATGATCGATGTCCACAGGCTGGTAGTTCGCGTCTGCTGTCGTATGCTTTTACTTATATGTCATTATAAAGCCGAAGTGTATAAATATATATTTAGTAAAAGCTGCATTATTTCCACAAGCTTGAATTTTTGAGTAGTCCGCCTTACTGAGTTACTTGCTGCATGGTATATACCTAATGTTAAACGAGCTCTATCATAACTATCAGTGATATCCGTCAATGTATGGAGTATTATGGGTATGATTAATTGCTTCAGGAAGTAATTGGTTCTTACACAGTACGCCTTCCTGATTTTGATATGGCTATACTCTATAGATCTCAGCGTCTTCGGATGCGCCGGTATGTATTGTGCAGTACATCAATACGACCGACACTAGTAACATTCGTACAATTTATTGTGAGCCCCCCAAAGAAATAAATACCTTGCCTTCTTCCTTACCGTGGGGCACTTTGTCTCCCTCTCAAATTTTCCCTAGAGGCATGGAAGCGCCGAACAACGCACAACAATATAATATGAGCTCAGAGCTAAAACAAGTTCAGGGAGCTTGGGACCGTATCCGAGTCGCTAGTCCCATATATGCCTTTCTTCTTAATGATATCGATATCTACAATGCCGAAAAAGGCGTGTTTCACTCTCGCATTCAAGTCGCTCCTCACCACCTTAATTCAAAGGGCACTTTGCATGGTGTTTTTTCGGCCTGTGTCACTGACTGGGCAGGCGGATTGGCAATCGCTTCCTGTGGCCTCGACTCTACAGGGGTGAGCACAGATATTCATGTCAATTACCTTTCTACGGCGACCACTGGGGACTGGCTGGAGATTGAGGGCCGGGCTAATAAAGTGGGGAAGTCACTGGCTTTCACATCAATTACTATCTCTAAAAGGACCGAGACTGGACAGACAACCATTGTTGCACATGGAACCCATACAAAATATATTAGAATACGATGAACTCGCCCGTGTGGGGATGTACCAGGTCGTATAAATATTGCAGGCACGAAATCTACAAGGGCCAGGTGGCCTCGAAGAAAAAAGATAGGGGAACAAAATCTCCATAGTTGCTCTGTTGATTTTATTAGTACCGCCATCATCTTTACATCTGGCATGAAACACATGTACTTTGAATGCCTAGATTCACTCGGATAGCGGAGAATAATCCCACTCTATTGCTTTAGATACCTTGTTTTTCGGCAGTGGAGCAAGGCAATAACGAATGGAGACATTTTCAATAACTTATCACAATTACATACTTCGTGTTGGATGAGTGCTTTCATAACCTAAGGAGTTGCCGTCATGTATCCGAAATTTACGGAGTAGTGCTATCAACAACATCAACTACCTTCCCTAATTAGAGGCATGCCTCTGTATCTATACCTGAGATCATATAATTTTCATGGAACTCGTACATACATATGTATGCACATTATTTCCCCTCTGCCTATGCACACGAATAAGGTTGATCGTATGGTTGTACCGATACATTCCCGTCGGGTATTTGATTAGTCTGACTAGGTCCAGGTAGCTTGCCCACTGCAATTACTATTTACTGTATCATGAATTTCACATAGGAGTAGTGCCTGGGAACAAACACACCCGTGCCTGTCCAACCTGACAACTATAAATGAACAAGAGGCGGTTTTAAACTCCTTCTAGAACTGCTTACTACCCTTGTGGCGAACACTGTCATTTCATGGGGTCAATAACCATGGACACTCCCGGCGATGCTCCTTCCCAGCCAAGTGAACCTGACCTCCCCGACCAAGCAAGTGTTGCAGAACAACAAGCCGGCCCAAACAACCATGGAACCAATACAGCGCAATCAAAGGAGCTTCTTGAAATTGTCATTGGCTTCCTTTCTACTGCTAGCAATGAAGTTCTACTCGGCGTCTTTACTGGCTTGGTAGGCGCAACATATATTCTTCTGGGAAGACTTGGTCTGCTCCTGATTGGGGTAGCTAGTGGCATCGTCCTACATGCGTCATGGGAGGGGGCGAGTACTCATTCCTCTGGGAATGAATTGAATTGCCGACTTCCCAAGAGGAGAAGAGAAATAGGTTTGGATATAGCTCATAGGTTGCTTGACTGGCCGGAACTTAATACCACAGGAATTGGATCAAGCCACGACAACACCCAGAAGCTTTCACATGATGTGGTGGAAATAGACCCGGACTACACCTCTTTCCGTCCAGAGACAGCTGCCGCGCTGGAATCATTGACCGACGCGGTGATCAGGGACTATGTAAAGTAAGGTTCCACCTCTCTAAATGAGACAAAAGCTTACCAAAGAGAAAGTTGTTGGTATGAATCGATCTTGCCGTCTGAGAGGACGTTTCCTCTCTCCTGCCGGAGGACATTGATCAGCTTTATAACCTCTGTGTCAACACACCTCTCACGTAAACGAGCAGCAGACACTTTCTTGGAATTCCTCACAAATTCATCCTCCATGTTAATCGTATTCTTGAATGAACTGTCTACGGCTTTTGAGACCATTGGGCCCACTATGACGCCAGAACAAACTATCCAGCGTTACCTAGAATTCTCCCCCGAGAGCAGCTTGGCAAGTGTCTTAGCAAGCCAACAACAGCATAAGAAACTCAACTTGATAGCGGACGATATATTGGCCAGCTTTTTGGATCCGAAAGCCTACGCGCTGCCTCCTCTAAGGGATTTTCTTCGCGAGATCTTAGCCGGGGTTGTCCTCGAATCCATCATTTCGAGTCTATCACGTCCAGAGTTCATCAATGGATGGATTATTCATCTTCTTAATGAAGGCAAATCTGAAATTATGAGTGCAATTGATGCTGGTGTTGAAGGGGCGCGAACTAGTGGTGTAACCGCAGCTAAGGGTTCCAAAGAAGTAAATATGCCTCTTCCAACGCATGTGAATGGAAAGAAAGTGGGTTCAGAGACTGCCCATATAGATAAGGCAACTGAAGAAGCCATGGTGGAAGCTAAGCGACTAAGTGCCATGATCGCAGCACAAGACCTGCAGCATCAAAATGCTGAGCAGTCGGTATATCATGATTCTCAAACTCCACCTTCTTCAAGCGAAGAAGATCCCTTTTCACAGCCCTACCATGGGAAGGAAAGGGCTGAATATGATGCTAGAACGCAACTAGGGTTTGAGAATGTGAACGCCAAGCCGACTCAGAAGATCCATGAGCCTGCATCTGAAAATGCCTTCGAACTAAGTCCTGCAAGGCGACCCTCCTCGCCGTCTTCACCACATTCCGCAAGATCCTTATCGTTGAATCAAACATCGGAGAGCGACATACATGCTCCCCTGACTCTCCATCGAGCTTCTATAACAGTAGATGATGGCTTGGATCCGGGAGATGAAGCATTGCTGCGATCAAAACCAATCTCAAATTACTTAGTCCAGATTGAGCCGGCGTCCGCATCTTGTACGGGATGGATGGTTTTCAGGAACTACACAGAGTTTGAGTCACTCCATGAGACATTAGCAACGATTTCGAGATTAAACGGAATTCAAAAGTTTACAGACGATCATCCTATCCTACCTAGTTGGAAAGGACAGACAAAGCAAGCATTGGCGAGGAGTTTGAAGAGATACCTCCAAGATGCCCTTCAAAACGAACCTCTCGCAAAGAGTGAACGAATGAAGCGGTTCCTTGAAAAGGGTGGAAGTCTTGGTCCTGCATCTGTGGGCACATCCCTGAAGGCTGGATTCTCTTTTCCAAGCCAGACTTCCCTCGAAAATGTCGGAAAGGGGGTTCTAGGCGTCTTAGCAAATGCACCCAAAGGCGTTTCCGACGGCAGCAAGGCCGTTTTCGGTGGCATGACCGGGGTATTCGGCGCGAAGTCTGTTAAGAAGACTTCATCGGATTTGGTTTCAAATAGTCATAATCAGAATATCAATACCCTTACGCAGCCGAATGAGTACCCCCCGCGCAAGTCTGAGGACGCTGGAAATCCGAGACGACATTCACTGGAGCCATATAGTGCAAGTCACGGTACTCAACTACCCTCCAGGTGTCAGAGGCATAGTTCGCCACTGTTTGAAGTTGCATCTGATACCACAGCTGTGAAGGGAGTCAAGCACTGCCAGGACATACCTCTCGACAGTCCAGCAGAAAATGCAGAAGGGTCACGCCAGGCTCTCGCTGCAGAAACGGAGCGAATTGCTGGCCTCTCTAGCTTGGATCTCAGACATCGTGATTCGCTAGGACTATCACTCTCTTCGGGTAGGCCCGGGGAGGAAGATACTCATACCCAAATAGGGGAGCAGGTGAATACGGCTTCGCAAGATAGTTCAGAGGGCCTAGGCAACCCTATCACCCAAGAAGAAACCCGGATAGCTGTGGAGCTCATTTTTGCAGTGATAAATGAATTATATACACTGTCATCTGCCTGGAATATACGCCGGACTCTGTTAAATGCGGCGAAGTCATACATATTACGCCCCGGGAATCCAAATTTAGAGACGATTCGCGGCTTGTTGCAAGGATCAATGATTGAATCCAACACATCTGACGAAGCGCTTAGCCTGTATATCACCAAACTTCGTGAGAACGTCCTCCCAACAGAAGCTGAGTTGAAGTCTTGGCCTTCTGCACCTAACGAGGCCGAAAAAGAGCGTCTAAGGGAGACTGCACGGAAAGCTTTTGTGCAGAAAGGGCTGCCACAGGCCTTAACAAGTGTAATGGGAGCAGCTGCCAGCCGTGAAGCCCTTGAGAAGGTATTCGATTGTCTCCAGGTACCAATCATTGCGCGAGGGCTTGTGTTTTCTGTTCTCATACAGGCATTGAGGTCCGTCATCTTTTAAGCTGCCCTTACTATCACGACTTAAAAATGAGTGCTATTGAGGTATAAGTTACGGAGTAACTTGTGGTTTTATGCCCGAATATGTCCTAAGCTGCTTATAGAGCAGTCATAATGGTCTTTTTCGACTATGTGGCAATAGTAGCTATACGAACTATCTCTAACAAGCTTCTAGCATCTGGTCACGTGGTGATAACTCAAGATAAGAGCTCCGTTCTGTATCTTGTACTGAGTAGTACTGTCTCCGTAGCTCTACATTAACTTTGCTAACAGACTCTTTTTATCTAAGATCAGCACGGGCTTCCTTCGCCACTCTACGCATATCAATTACTTTTGAATAACAGCATATGTCATGGCCTCTAGGCTCAGAAAGCGTGCGTCAGGTGCTGGTGAAATTGTAAACGATGAACATCCCCCCTTGAAAAGAACGAAGTTTAGTGCTGCTGGAAATGTTGATGCAAATGGGAATCGGTACTGGGAAATATCAAAACTGCGTCGTGTCACTATTTCCTCATTTCGAGGAAAGACACTGGTAAATATCAGGGAATACTACGAGAAAGATGGCCAAGAGCTTCCCGGCAAGAAAGTTGGTTCCTCTCTAGCCATCTTCCTCATACTGTTGTCGCGTCCTGCTGATGATTCATACAGGGCATCTCGTTGCCAATCGACCAATTTTCATCCCTTGTCACCTTATTGCCTGAAATTGAGCTTACACTAAAGGATTCCGGAGTGTCTGTTCCACGACCAGATTATGCCTGCAGACATAGTATCCCAAACCAAGACCACAATGAAGCTTCTGGTGGTGGTGGTGATAGTGGGCTTGGAGACTCGTACCTGCCAAGAAAAAACATTGAAGCGACAAGCGAGGAGGATGAGAGTGAGGAGTAGTTTTCCAAGAAGTCAATCTTGAAGTAGAAATAGTGTCCACAAGCCAGCCTAGTTATTGTAATCCAGACGCACTAGTCTCATAAGTTGAGGATATGGTCTGCTAGGCGGCTTCCAACCTTTATTCTATGTTAATGACATACGCATAGCCTTGATGTATTGTATCGTCTTAAAATACATGTTCCATACGCCAATAGCAGGTCGTGATAGAGCTGCTATGCTATGGTGTAAATACGACGTGCATCCTGTCTGTATAATGCATAATTTCTTACAAGTCTTCGGTTAGGGACCCATTTGTCCGGTTCAGTTAGAGGCTTGCATTGATGTCCTATGATCCTGATGCCAAAATTCCTATTGTCGGACCTAATACGGGCGGAACTGATGCTCCGAATGGTTATGTGAAGGTGGTGCCACGCCACAAGTACCGATCTGCTGAAGGAGACGGCAGCTTATAAACAATGTCTAAATGGCAATACTAAGTACAGATGCCTCCTCTCCCCTTTGGAACACATTTTGATGGTATTGGTAGGGAAAAATGACTCCTGGAACTCTCGTATCATCTGGAGCTCAACACTCATGTAATTACTATGACTAACGTATTCGGTAAACGAGCGGGCCATGTAGTCCAGCGGGCCAACTTGTATTCCATATAAAATGGCACTTTTACAAGTCAATTATCTCAACAACCAAAGCCAGCAGAGATCTATATTCTAGTGTATAAACTATTTTATCACTATAAATATATATATTAGATAGACAGAGCTCTATATTAAATATTATATTAAATAATATTAATTACAATGTATTCTGTGTAATTTATCTATATTTATATTTAGAGCTTTAGAAATGTATATTAAAAATATAAAAAAATATATATGATATTTATAATCCCTATATGTATATTTATATTAAGTATCACATAGCTACTAGTTCTGGTTATTGAGATAATTGACTTGTAAAAGTACCATTTTATATGGAATACAGAGCTGCGTCGCCGGCTTACATGCGTCACTCGCTTACCGATCACGTTAGTTACGAATATAGCAGGAATAGTCGCCCGGGATGGAGTATGCCTGGTGCAGTAGGTAATACTATCTTCCTAGGACATAGCTACCAGAATATCCATTCCAGGGTTTACCAGTCTTACATACAGACTGCTTGGTATTTTATCGCCCTGGCACCGTATTGCAATGTTTTCGTATAAACCTTTTTCGCCGCAGTACGTCAGACTCATATCACGAGAACGAAGCACGGGACTTCGGGGGAAGAGGACAGACAATAAAGAATCTCATATATATGTACACAGGACACACTCCCACCTGCATGTAGCAACGCAGAGTTCTCATTTAACATAAAGAATAGTGCATTTGTGTGGGTTGCATAAAACCCAGAGATTTGGAGGAGACTGCACGGAGTACCTATTTCAGTAACACATGAAGGTATTATTAGGATAATACTTCTCTACACAGTAATGGGTAGGTAACAGTGCAGTTTATTGCATGTCCAAATCCGAGAACAAAAAACAAGCAAAAATAAGGGATAAAAAGTGGCATATCGGCAATATCAGAGTACTGCGTGAAATTCAGATGTACTAGTGATTTATCAAGGTGTTTACAGTGCACTATGCAATCTACTCCGTAGGGCCAACTATCCCATTGGACTGTATGGTTCGTTATGATGATCTTTTTACAGGCGTTCTCATATACCAACCATTATTAGAGCAAGTTTGGTTACTCCATATAGAGTGCTCCCTCTCAGAAAGCCTTCTCTATTTCTAGGATGTTTTGGAGTAGGAGAGCTACCTACCTAACAGTGGATGGGACTCGCGCGAAGTATAATGATGATATTACCTTCTTGAACCTTCGGGAAGTTAGAAGGTAGTATGTACATAGAGTTACTGTAAGTACTCCGTACCCAGCGGCCCCTTTTTGCCGCTCTAAAAAAGAAAATCGCCACGGGATCAATCCCCTTTTCTCTCACCAGGCTTCTCATCTACGGGCCTCAAATATTTCACGGTATATTGCACCTCATTCCCATCGGCCAATTTTCTCCTCTCAAAATTAGTTATTGGATCTATGGTGCTGTTATACCATCGACTGGTTTTATCCAGCACCTTCGACGAAACGAATTCAACTCAATTTAACCCCACATTAGTTCCTCCGTCGTCCCCCGTTTCGTCAGAAAGAACAATATTACTTCAAGATCGGTACGTGTTACCCTACACACGGACCACTCTCCAAATGTAAAGATGTCAATGAGATACTATCATTAGTACTCTCACAACCATTAATTGTTAACTTACCATCCCGCAGTAATTGGATTCCAAGGCCCGTTCCATTAATAAACTCCTAGCAATCGACTGGGTTACCACATCCTCGCCTCCATCTACACCGGAAAGGCACATTGGCGGCAATTCGACAGGACAGCTCCCAGAGCCCTCAAAACTGTTTACCACCTGAAATAGCGATCAGTGTTTCTCTTTTACTTTTTTCGAAAAGGTTGCGCAGCGGAACTTCGATTACGATGTATCGCGACCAATGACGATTTATCTACTCCACATCGGTTCGAGATAATTATGTCCTTTTCTTCTGACACTATTGCGCCAGAGTAACGGGCCATGTGCTGAAGGAAGTCTTTGCAAATAGGGGAGCCAGAGGAGTCTTACGATTGTTACATGTGACATTGTTAAGGCTACAGAGTAGCCCCCATTTACCAGCTTCTAGAGTCCGAAGAGGTTAACCCGCCAGTCACACATACACATATTTGTGACGTCCCTCAAATACGCGGCGCAATCCAAATTTGTAATCTGCAGACCTCTGGGATCTAGGAAGATCCGCCCGTTTCGCTTTGATCGTCATCATAGACCTATCCATCTCGAACTGGCTGTCATACACTTATAACCAAGAGCGACGCCTGCGACGGCGACTCGAAAACACGGTACAACACACGTCGTGTTACTTTGAAGACACCCCTCGCCCATCCTCTATCAGTTCATATATCATCCCTGTTTTCCTCTGCGGAATCCGACCGTTTCTGCTGTTGTGTTGCTGACACGGCATTGACTGCCTGGTCCTTGTAAGCATGGCCCATAATTTGACTTCGGAAGGATATGGACGTCCCATGTCTCCGGAATACGCTTTCATCGCAGACACATCAGCTCCACGTTTATCCCGAGCCAATTCTTGGAATAGAATTAAAAAGAAAGGCTCTGAGAGCACAGAGCTTGCTTCTAGATTTGGAGCGGTAACACCGACAAGGCCCGAGCTTGTCTCAGAGTCGGTTACACGCTCCCCTTCAACTAGCCCAGGTGATCATATCCAAGAAGGCCTTGGCAGTTTGAATCGCTGGTCCCAGTCAACGTCATCCAGCAAGGATTCGCCCAAGTATGATAGCTACCCTCGAGGGGTCCCTTCTAAAGCATCTGTCGACCATGATTACACCTCTCCCAAAGGCCGCGCAAGTCCTGAGAGGGACACTGTCCCACGTCTTTCTCCTCGGGTTGCCGCACTGACGAACGATGAAAGTCCACTGCAAGGCCATCATTCTTCGCACTCGATTGCCACGGGTCACTACATGCGAGTCCTTGAACTTGGAAGTCACAGTACCTTATCGACCTCCCCGACAAATGCTATAGATCCTGCTTCCTCGCATCAGGATCATCTGCCGCTCGGCTCCACGTCGATTGCTGCTAGTCTCTTTCAAAATCCATGGTCGAGATCAAGTGCTGATGCGCAAGCAGTCAACGAGAATTCCCAGATGTTTAATGGTAGGGAGCAAATCCAAGGGAAGCGGCGACGAGGCCATTCCCAGAAGGCAATGCTATCTAAAGCGTTACAGAAAGCCAACACTGCTGTGCTTCTTGACAATGCGGCAAATTTTGAAGGCGCAATGGAAGCTTATAATGATGCCTGCCAGCTCCTGCAACTTGTTATGCTTAGAAGCAGCGGGGGTGAGGACGAAAAGTCAAAACTTCAGGAAATTGTGAGTCTTGCTTTTTGAGCGATTCCCCCTCCCTCTTTTCTTCTTTTTGGCTTTTTCACTCTTTATACTCAGGGACTAAATTTCCTAGCGTGACACATACATGATTCGTGTAACGGAGCTGCAGCGTATGGATTTCTCATTTACGGAACCAAACAGCAAAGCTCTTCCAGAGAGACCCCTCAGCCAGGAGTCTTACAGTGAGATGTTTCAGTCTATTGAAGATGGTGATAATGAGGCATCGCTTAATGAAAGTGTGAATTCCTTGCGGCGTAGCTCTGACGATCATCAGCCAGTGCTAAACGAAGCAATGGTATTAGCCTCTAATCGAGTCCCAGTGAGGCGCCAGTCGTTATTACCTTCTGCAATAGACGATGATCTACGTTGCTTATCACCACCCACCACTAAGCAGAATGGTTTTACTCAAACCGAATCATTTACAGCATCCAGGGATGAACATCCAGTAATGGCGATGCACTCTGGGTCTGGGCAAGCCTCTCGGACATTAAACCTAGATGATGATTCGGCGCATCACCTTCGGTATAATGATTGGGCTTTATTGAGTACTCATGCGAAAGATGCTTACGAGTCGACATCCTGGCTTGATACGATCGATGAGTCTGGCGCATCTTCACCGGCTTCCACTCGCTCTAAAGTATCATCTGTGTACCTACGACATGGCGGAAGCCACCATTTCAGTCACGGTACAGAGGCTGAATTTGATGCTGCTCTCGATGCCGCTGTTGAGGCTGCCTATGATGAGGGGTTTGAGCCAGTAACTGAGCTAAATGAACAGTATAATGGCAGCATTGATAATGATAGTGACATTGTGGCTAATGCCCGTCGAAATATTGAGTTGGCGAAACAGAAAGTAAGGGAAGCCGAGCGTGAAGCACAAGTGGCAATGGCCCGAGGCCGTGAGATGCGAAATTTGCAACAGTCATATATAGTTGACCACTCTCATGGGGCTGACCTGGATTATTTGGATGAGGAAGCCGAGGAAGAAGAACGTTTATTGGAAGAGATGACCAGAGGTTATATCATGGACGACTTTAACTTTGATCTCCAGTCAAAGTCAGCTCTTCCTCGACAATCCGATTGTAGCAGCTTTTCCGGCAGGGCTTGGGAAAGTTTGGCTGTACCCAACACAACAACAACCTCCGGCGCAATGCTATCCCCACTTGCAGAAGATTCTGCTCTGCCTGAAGTGAGTGCAATGGCAAAACAGACGACAGAGCCTCTTTCAACCCAGGAAAATGCTGTTTTGCCCAAACCAAACCCTGTTCTGACGCCAGGTCCGAGCGTACGTGCTCGAAGAATGTCCGGTCAGAGAACAACAGAATTAAAAATCGAAACCAAACCTCGCTTGGGAGCAGACTTGGATTTATCTAGTCAGAATCAATCCTCGGTACCTGCAGCCCTTCCACCACCACCACCACCCCTCCCTAAAGACGAACCTTCAACAAATTTTCTTATGCAGACAAGCAAAACCCTAGGTCCTACTCCCGTCCTACGCTCGGGAGTGCGTTTGAACAAACGTAACGCATCCATTGGGTCCTTCAGTGAAGATACTTGGACAAATGCCAGTCTCGACAAGCCGACGACCAAGGAAGAAGATAACAATCTTGAAGTTTCAAGAATACCATCACCAGCCCGGCCGATAGGGAAAGTGCCGTCAGCACCAGATAACCTAGGGAAGCTGAACTCAGGTTCGAAATCATTTCGTGCAAGGAATGTGTCAGTGCCAGGGCCCGATACCCTAATCGACTCACCAGACACTCCCAGCAGTGCGTTCCCCCCTTTCGATATTCAGAAAGGGGCGGGGATTGCTGCAGGGCCAGTTTTGCCCACACCAACTGGCGCAACCTTTGCTCCTAATGGTCTTCCGAGTGGAGGGCTGTATCTGTTCGACAGCCATATCCACTCACCAACCAATCTCGGCTCACCAAATGCGACTGCAACTAATGCTCCTGCGCCCTTAGAACATTGCCCTGAGTCATTTCTCTTGCGCCCATTTTGGCTTATGCGATGCATATATCAAACTATAGCCCACCCTAGCGGTGGCTACTTGACAACCAAACTATTTGTACCGCGAGATGTCTGGCGCGTGAAAAATGTGAAAATCAAGGCAGTGGAGGAGAAAGTCTCGAATTGTGACTTGTTGACGGCGGCGTTGTTGAAATTGGCTAAGGTTGATACTTATGATGCCGACGCCGTTCTAGAACAGATGCAGTCCTTTGAGACCGTTCTCGACCAGGTTCAGTCTTCGCTATCGAAAAAGCTGGGCGGCGAAGTTGGCGTTCAGGGGGCTATGGCTCTATTCAAAGCCTCTCAGAGTTCAGACGATGCGGCAGCCGTTGATACTTTGCCTTCGAAAACTTCCGGCGGTGCCAGCAAATCATATTTAACCTCTTGGCGCAAGCTGCGGTCCAAAAACTCTGGATTTGGGGGGACAACGTCACAGTCTAGCGTAAAAGAGACCAGCAGGGATAATCTGATCATCAACTCTCTCCCGATGTCTTCGACGCCTAATTCCCAGCCTGTCAAGCGCAATACAACGCAGCTGCAGTTCAATGGACCGAATGCGAACTATATGAGCGCGTTGGCCCGTCTTTGTGACGCGGCGCAGGTGTTAGGTAGGCAACATTTATTCATAGCGTTATGTCAACCTTCGTTGCTAACTAATTCCGCAATGTCAGATCAAATCGCTCAGCAGGTCGAAGACCCGGGACTAAAGCATTCTTCTCCAACTCTTGTTGGCTTGGAGTTGAGTACTCGGCATGCTGCAGAATTTTTTGGCTTCTATATCTGTCGGTTTGCCTTAAATGATATTGCAATGATGGTTGATAAGTTCATCAAAAGGGGTAGCGAATGGGTACTTATCTAAAAATGCGAGAGTTGGGTTCCTTGCCGCTTTACAAACCATCCCTATATGATATGATTGTTTACTTATATAATCTCCCTGAGTCCCATTGTCGGCATTTATTTCTTTTCATGAACAATGTTAGCCACGATGAAAGTTATGTCACACCATGTAATAGGCTATTCAATCCTTTTATCGTTTTTAGAGCTATGTAGGGGTTAGCCCTGGACTATGTATATATTCATGATTGAGCTGTATATATGCTACTCTCTCAATATCTGCGCTAACAATTCCATTGTTCATTTTATTGTTATTCTCTTATTTTAATATAATGCATATTTACCTGCATGTAAATTCGAGTTGACATCAAGGGAAGACACCGCCACCGGGCCCAGGGAGGAGGCGAAAGCAGACGATGAATGTAGATCAAGTTCAACGTCCCGTAGACCTCAAACAGATTTGGCGTCGTTTTTCTGCATCCCGAATAATTTCAGCTGATAATTTTAAACTCGGAGCAAGGTGGGCGTATCTCTCAACCTCTGCCACTACTTCTGATATCATCAGATCCACTTGGTCTGCAGGGGGCAGCAAGACAGAAAGCGTTGGAGACATAGTAGCCCCCATGATCAATAGCGTCTGTGACACCATGGACAGAGCTCCCTGCCAAAGATATGGTAGATGACCTTCGCGGTGGCTTTTTATATTCTCCAATTGGTGTATTGTGGCTTCTATGCACCGCCGGCAGCACTCCTTTACCACTGGATCTGAAGATGTCTGCTCATTTTCGAAAACAGCCAACATATAAGGCCGGTAGATGATTGTCCTGCATGCAAAATATCGAAGCCGTAGGGCAGTCTGGACAGAGTTTGACACCGGTGTACGGGAAAGAGGAAACTGAACAGGTTGGGGCAGACTCTCATACCACTGAGAGAGTTGGTAGTCCAGCTCGGAAACAATAGGTCCAAGCGTCCCAAGAGTTAATGGGCTATCCTTTTGATAAACCATGTGACTGACGCGGTTGAGCAATCTCCTCAATGCAATTTCTGCTAGGAAGTACCACAATTCGTCGTGACCAACAGGTTCAGTTTCAAATCCAATTTCACCATGTGCGTCCTCGGCCTCTTGGTCATCTTCGTCATCCTCCTCCTCAAACCCTCCAGGAAGATCAACTAGCTCTTCAAAGTGCACAATCCCTGAATGTGGTAGATCTAGTTCCGCTAGCAAGTCGCTTTCGTAGAGCAGAGCGTTCCAGTATATTCGCACGCTTAGCTCCTTCCACTGAAGAGGAACACGAGATGGATTGCCCAAAAGTAGCTGTAATTTTAGGCTGGCATTTGACAGAAGAGTCCAGGCCTCTAGGGGTCTGACTAGGTAGAATAAATAGGCTGATGTCAGTATGATACACTGTGCAGCAGGCACAGAGTTGCGCATCATGACTATTGGGAGAAGGTCCCAAGCTGCCGCAAAGTAGGGAAGACCTGGAGCCTCGTTGTCTGGCGAGACAGAGGAAATACTACCATGGTGACTAGCACATCCAAGAGCCAAGACCAAGAGGACCAGGCAGCTCTCAGATCCTTCTCGAAAGCTGAGTGACATCGCGGTTTTGTAATACCGAGACCATGTATATGGATTAACGCAGGCGTACCAAACATTGACACGTCGAAAGAAATTCCTGATGTAAGTCGTTGCATTTGTCAAGTCCAACTCCTTAGGTGCTCTCATCCTAAGGGGCTCACGAGCCATTTCCAGTTGCAATAGTGTATGAGGGTCATAGGGGCCAGCCACCAATCCTCGAATTAGAGGCCATTGTAGCAGATGTAACGCAGGAGTGGTATGTACCTTTGGCATCGTTGAGATACTCGTGGGTGGGTTAGCCCAAGAAGCGAGTCCAACAACTGACGTTTTCCCAGGAATAACAGCCGCGTTGGATGTCTTAACCGGGGTATCTTCACTGCCGATATTGGTATCGTTACTCGTTGCCGGTGATGTTGAGGGCAGTGAACAATGTGCTGCCTGGCTTGCTAGACTTGATTGCAAGAGTCCCTCGATACGGTTGAGCCTTTCAATGATCAGTTTATCACCGGCATCGAGCTTGATGCCAGGCTCTCTATAGACGCAGTCGGTGTTTAGATCCGTACAGAGCTGGCACTTTGGGCGCGCCCCATTGCATTTTGTTTTCCGCAGGCGGCATATCTGACACTATCACGCTTGCCATTCTTCATGATCAATGAATATCTATGCAGGGGGGAAGCGATGGAGGGTGGTATAGAAAACGAAGAGCAAGGAGCAGAGGGAGAGAAGCATACAGCTATTGTGGCGCGCCTTCGGGGATATTCGGCCACATCAGAATTGGATCGCTTTTTCTTGCTCGGCTGGAAGTCGTCAGAAGCAGTCACAGCGGTGACTGCATCAACGTCCATATCTCTGTCTCTTTGGGGAGGAGACATGGCTTCGAACTGAGATACTACAACATGAATTGGATGCGAAGCAGAAACAGTCGGTCTTCTGATTGCAGGTACATCCTATATTGCAGTCTTCAACGTCCGCTGCCTGTTAGTTCTTCATCAGTATGTGTGGGGGACGAATGAAGCAGCAGTTGGATTACCATAACCCACGGAATTTGATGCAAGATAAATGGTGGAGTGTCTCATAGCTGCATTGGGCGAAAATTAGGATTGAAGTCCATCTGAGCACTTAATCATCATAATGCTGGGGTAAAATCAGTTCAGTCGCTAGGCTAGAAAGTATTACGGGATACTAGTAGGCAGATTCTAATTAAATCGACTGATCAGTCAGGGCTTAAAAGCGGGGAACAGTGCTTCCTAGCTAATAGGGATTTGCCGATTAAAGTCCTTGCATCTTCATGGTTAAAATACAGGATAAGCCGGTTGTGTCGGCTATTACTACCTTGTTGAAACATGGGTAATTTCTTTTTATCTCAGCAAGCTCAGACCTTTGACGAGGTCCTAGAAGCCTTAGGCAGTTAGCTACCTAATAAATAGTCCGAGCTTTCTCGTAGAGTGACCCCTATAAATTGCCTAAACTGCTCGAATTATTAGACCACTTGAACAACTTGCACTACTTGATTGCTTTATATTATACGCCCTATAGAGACGAGGTGGGTAGGAATATAGCGTTAATATTGTAGCGCTTTGTAAGAGATGGCTCAACATAGGATTTTATCAGTTAATCTACAGATAAGCCACGAGCGAAGCGGGGGATTATGGTTTCTGGTATATAATACGATATGTATTCAAAATCATAAATGGCAGTACTTAACATGTGTGTGAAGAGAAAAAAGAAAAAAGAACCGGAACCCAAAAAATATCTCCGGGCGTAGTATCTATATACCATGTACCAAGTATAAATTAAGCGCATACAGCAGTGGAGGCAGCACGTGCGGGACGCGTTGTTCCTTACCGACGACGCGACTTTGAGGGTTACATACAACTTCACCATCCGATAACAGATTCGCTCGCTTTCTGTACACCGTTTACAATATTTCGAGGTTGACATAACTACGCAACATTTTGGAAGGAGATAAGAAAGCAGGGAAGAAGAAGAAGAAGAAGAAGAAGAAGAGGAAGAAAATAAAAGTTGAAAAAAAAAAGAAAAAGACGCCCTACCAGATTGATGCAACGGGAACATCTGTAAAGAGGAACTGAAACTCCTACAAGCATGCCTCGTCCACCAACAAAACGCAATCGCCTGGCAGCAACAAAGGCTGTGTCCGCAATATCGAAGGAAAAGGCGGAGTCAAGTATCGAGTGTGACGTGAGCGCATCGAATACTTCCAGGCCTGCAGCGTCCGATAACCGAGACGAGGGGAGTTCTTCACAGTTGGTATTCAGTGCACAACAGGCGAACACTTTACGACATTTAAGGAATCAAACGCCACTGGCTAGAAACAATGAACAGGCGATCGAATCTTCCCCAATGGGGGAACAAGGTGCTACAGGCAGCCGGCCACCCACCAGGTCTCGGGGGTACTCGTCTACCCTCTCCATGGCTGGACGGAAAGTTGATATGAGTTCAAAAATACCGGGAACGCCTGCTTTCGAGAGCTCAATATTGAGTAATTTTAGACGGCGACCTCGGCAAGCGAGCATTCTGCAAATGATGCAAGCAGAGGATGGCTCGTCTGACCTGGACGATGATGACTTTTTGGGTGGTTTGAGCCCCGAAGACGAGTCCACGCCCCTAAATCTTCCCCGAGGAAAATCGCTTCTCATTAGGCAAGCCGTATCCCCGTCTCCATCCCAGCCTTCATTGCCTTCTAGTGTGGAGTCACGCAAGCGGAAACGGTCTATCGAAGAATGTCAGGTCCATCAGTCGCCTCCAGCCGTAGCGGAGAACACTCGCAGAGGAGAGTCACCTCATACAAGGAACGAGGACTCCCTGAAACTAACTCAACCATTGCGGTCTTTAGATGCGTTCAGTCAGACTATGGCACCGCCTCTAAGCAGCAGTCCCATGTCGAGTCCCGTTCTCCCAGCCTCCACATCAGACTCAGCGCGACCGTTAAATTTTACTAAAGGCACAAAGGTACACCCAGACGTCTCTAATGAGGCGACTACCATCCCCACGGCAACTTTACAAGACCGACTCCTCCCTCGGCGTCGCCAACGGTACCGCGAACGCCGCAACGTGGTTGGATTAGAATTTCCAGGCGGCTCGAGTGAAGATGATGCTTCTGCTGCAGAACAGGACTATGACGAATCGAATCACTCACACAGAAGAAGGCGAGCTGCCAAGTCAAAGCTGAACCCTTACTCCGAATCCCGGCGGGGAGTTGAGCAAAGGGCTGGAATAGTGGTCAATAAGGGTAATGGCCTAAAGAATCCTGCGGGGATTACGAAAGCCCTAAATCCAGCCCCCGAGAATCATCATGAAACCAGACTTTCCACCAGACCTCATGCACAAAAAGTCACCGGCGAAGAAAGCCAGCTGACCGACATATCATCACCCTTGTCTCCACCACTTGATTCAGATGCATTGGAGTCCGTCTCACTGTCGGAGTCGCCACCACCGGTCGATTTCCTCAGCGAAGAGCTGAGGCTACAAGCGAAGAAATTTGCTGAGGTTGATGAATGGGAAATGGAATTTGAGGATGTTCCTGGTAGCCAAGGCAGTGCATTGGAGTAGATAATTCCCTACGCGTCACGTTAGTTGCGATAGTTAACTATGATATCAATGTCGTTGCCGCCAGTTGAACCCATGCCGAATGACTTGGGCTTTACCCGATGATAAGCGGGTGTCGCGCGAAGTAAGCCCCGCAAGCGAAATAATAAAACCCCACCTGAGTGAGTTGCTAAGTTCACTCGCCTTGAAAGTTCTTTGCAGGCCAGATTGTTCTACACCTGTTCCGTTATTTTTGAGAGACCTAGCGCAGTTTCCGTTGATTTACGAAGTGTACCGTCATGGCCACTGTGGATGATATACTGGCAGGCAAATATCCTGCCAAATCCCATGCGCGCCAGGTTGCGCAGCTTCTTCAGGCCCATCACGGACATGGTACCCCTGGAGTGATTTACTTGGAAGCCCAGAAAACTCGTCTTATAGAGGATAATGACGAACCGATGCCATTCAGGTAATGTTCATTCGCCTTTTTCTCTCTGAACCGTTGCTCCATAGGTTTAGTGAACTCACTAGCCCCGGCCTCCAGGCAACGGCGTTTCTTTTACTACTTATCAGGGTGCTCGCTTCCAGATTCGTACTTGATCTACGACATTAACGCTGACAAGCTCACTCTGTTCATACCTCCTATTGATGCGGAAGAGGTAATCTGGTCAGGGCTTCCCCTCTCCGCGGATGAGGCTATGAAGCTTTACGATGTTGACTGTGTGCTTGCGACGACTGAAGTTAACGCCACTCTTCGTTCTATTGGTTCAGCATATGGTGGCAATGCTATAACTTTCGCGATCGCTGGTCAGGTCTCTAGCGGGGCGGAATTCCAAGGATTTGCGGAAACCAATCTTTCCGTCCTGAAGGAAGCTATTGAAAAGGCGCGCGTTGTGAAAGACGGATATGAGATCGCTCTTCTGCGAAAGGCTAATGATATATCTGCTAAGGCACATGTTGCTGCCATAAGAGCTTCAAAGACTGCGGTAAACGAGCGTGAGATTGAGGGCGCGTTTATCTCTACGTGTATCGCTCATGGTGCTCGTGAGCAATCTTATCACCCTATCGTTGCTTGCGGTGCAAACGGTGCCACCCTTCACTATGGCAAGAATGATGATGACCTGACGGACCCTGCAACGAAGCAAAGGAAGAACAACATTCTCATTGACGCTGGAGGCGAGTACCGTGCATATTGCTCGGATATAACACGTGTGTTCCCTTTAGGTGGGAGATTCACAAAAGAAACCCGCCAGATTTATGAGATCGTCCTACAAATGCAGATGGAATGCATTGCAATGCTTAAAGGAGATGTGCAATGGGAGGATGTGCATGCGCATGCGCACCGTGTTGCCATCAAGGGTTTGCTCGCTTTGGGGATTCTAAGTGGCTCCGAGGATGAATTGTTTGAGAAGAGAATCAGCGTAGCGTTTTTCCCTCATGGTCTCGGGCACTATCTTGGAATGGATACGCATGACACTGGGGGCAATCCAAACTATGAGGACAAGGATACCATGTTTAAATACCTCCGTGTCAGAGGGCGTCTACCTGCAGGTTCCGTTATCACTGTTGAACCAGGGGTAAGTTTATGCAGCCTGTTCAACTATTATATCATGTTCCGATGCACTAAATTCCGTGTTCTTTTAGATCTACTTCTGCCGTTTTATTATCGATCCCTATACTCAATCTCCAGAGCTGGGGAAGTACATCAATACCACTGTCCTGGAGCGGTATTGGACGGTGGGGGGCGTACGTATCGAAGATAATATTCACATCACCAAAGATGGCCACGAAAATTTGACCACAGCGCCGAAAGCCATAGAGGAGATGGAAAGCTTGGCATTGTAGGCAATATCGTCATTACGAAAGATACAGTGCCGATACGGACTTATGTCGGCCCTGAATCATATTGAAATACGTTCTCTTCTAGAAGTATCTATGTCAAAGATATTAGCCCCACAGCTATACTTGCATTTCATGGTATCCGGCTCCGCCCTAGCTAGCTAGAAGTCATTCAACCGGTGAAATTGTTGCGTTGATTTGAGTACAAGTTATATGCAGGATCATGGTATAATTGCGTTTCCCCAAAAGAAAAAGAACCAACAGAAAGAGAGGAAAGACGTAGAAAATGCGAACTCCGCCTGGGGTAATACCATTTATAAACCAGGTTATCAGACAGCAAGCGCCCTTAATTGAAGATGATTACAGTACCCCGCTACAGACCACTCCTGAGTCGTTTTCTCCCGCTTCCCTTAATAGCAGACTCGGATTCAGCTTTATCTTGAGCGCGCTTTTCTTTATGGTCAAGTACCATGCTGAATACATCAAAGCAGAACTCGGGAACCTCAAGGCACAGCTTCCTGAATTCCTCTTCAGCTTCATGCCGTAAAACATGGCTTCTTAAAGCCCAGAAAGATGCTACGGGTTTCCGAATCGTAACATCGTTAGCTGGGGTATGCGTATATACGTATCGAGCATACGCAATCTCACCGTGTGAAGTGCTGTTCACACGGTGAATCTTTGAGTGGGCCAAGGTCTTCAGTGCTGGCATCCCAAGTTTTTCTGCCAAGGTGTAAACGCGTGCGTGTTTCAGCAGTTGCTCACCACTATTGTCGATTTCTCCCACAGCAGCGTCTTTGCCATTCGAGGCATCAGCTAGAGAGCTGTCATAGTTGCCGGTATATTGGAACTGGAGAAAAGAGCCAAAGGCCTCTACATCTTCGTCAGGAAGCTCAACGCGGCGCTTTAGAAGATTAGTACCAGGGTGAGAATCTTCTAACGCTTTAGACTTAACCCACAGGCCCCGAACCATCAAATACTGCGACTCGCTCAGCAAGGAAGGGCGATTCCAGAAGTAGTCTTTGGTGAGCTGTTAGAGTGGTGTTGGTTTCTCCTTTTCCTATAGTAAGTTCCACAATAGGCGACGTCAAGTATCTAAACGGTGTAAGCTGAAGGTCGTTGAACAGCAAAGAAAGACTGTTGCGCCATCGGATGTAATATGATAGCCGTACTCAAGAAACTGAAGGCCAGGATTTCTTTTCAGAGGCGCCACTTCGTCCGTGGATATCTGTTCCAGCTCTGTTGTTGCACTTGGTAGGGGTACATCATGTGTTATAGCATTATTCATTGGTGCTGCGTGTTGACTCGAATCCATGTCCACGTCGCGCATTTCCGCTTTTTGCGCGTTTCCGGGACCATGAGAGCCATCAAGCCCGGAAATCTGCACTTCAGGAATATCCATTGGCAGCCTAGGTAGTCAAAAGAGAATGAATAAGGGTATCGAAGGAAGGGATGGGTGTTGAAAAACCGATAATTCGAGGAGAGAACGACCGTCAGAATGATGTAGGAAGTATTGGTTAATAGAACTAAGAAGTTGATTTGAAGAGATATCTCGATAATATTGTACATGAAGATCGACGCGTCAATTAACATCCAAGGTTCAAACAATGTAACGTGTTGTAAAAGAGCGGAAAGACTTCACCTGGTTGTACAGTATTAGTACATACCAGTAATAATACCATAACTGGTCCTTGTACTTATTTTGCAGGTCAATAGATTATGTGAAATAGTTAAACGCCATGAAAGAAGAAGCAAATGAAGAGAAGAGAAGGGAGAGAAACCAGTAGAATACGTTGGATATCTTTTACCATGAGTTTGAGTGCTAGCAGACATCTAAGTTGTTTTCCAATCTTCAAATTGTCAACAGGCCATCATGGTATGGTAATTACTAAGCAAAGCTATACTAAGGTAGTGGTAATATAGTAGTATCTAGTTAGCATATATATATATATCTATAGCTTCTTGAGGGAGTCATCCCTTCTATGTATAGGCACCTAACTGTACGTAAGTATGTACCCAAGAACGTACGTTATGTACATACATACATATATGCAAGTGCATACACACACTTATAATCCACCAGACGTATGTTTATGTAATGGCAATACAAGATGTTCCCCACACTACTCCGTACTAAAGAATCCTTGCCCATGACCTGAAATTAAATCGGTGTCGCCCATTAATTCCAATTATCACACACTCAGAAATTCGGAGAAGGGCTTATGATCCGTATTGCTTTATCTCAGCACTGGAAACCTAGGCTCCCTCGAGGTTCTGTTATTTACAGCTGTTATCTCATACCGTTCTCTCAAGTTACCATACGAATCCCCTGGATCGCCCAGGCTTCGAGACGTAGCATGGCAACTGTTATTCACTCACCTCGGGATCCCAACACCCTGAGCAACTATAATAATTGGGTCTCTACCCATATAACCGCAAATTTCGATATCTTATTTGAACAGAAGAAGCTTGTTGGCAATGTTGTTCATAAGCTCAGGTCCATCACCGATGCAAGATCTACGGAAATCATCTTGGATACGAACCACGTGGATATCGGTGATGTGCGAGTCGACGGCCAAGCTTCTCACTGGGAGCTCCTTCCCACACTGGAGCCATATGGTACTGCATTGAAGATTAAGCTTGAGCAGGGCGTGGGGTTGAACGAAATGGTCGAGGTTGATGTAAATTGTCCTCCAGCTTGCGTATAGTCTTCCATGCGTATCTAACTTAGAGCATCTAGATCTCGGTTAAGACGACCGAAAAATGCACTGCCCTTCAGTGGCTGACTCCAGCCCAAACTTCTAATAGGAAACATCCATATATGTGTAAGCTAGCCGTTGCTGCCCTGAAACCAGGAGAAAGGTCAATGAACTGCTTGGTGTTTCTAACTTATTACCCTCATAGTTTCTCAATGCCAGGCTATCCATGCACGGTCAATTTTCCCATGTCAGGATACACCAGATGTCAAGTCTACTATTGACTTCAATATTACTTCACCTCTCCCTGTGGTTGCCAGTGGAATACCCGTTCGAGACATCATAGAAAAAGCAGCCCAACCAGGCAGTAAAACTCTGTACCAGTTTCACCAGAAATTGCCTATCCCAAGTTATCTGTTCGCGTTGGCTAGTGGGTATGGAGATTCAAAATACCTATTTGCTTGGTTTATAAACTAACTACCTAATATCAGTGATATCTCGGAAGCTGCAATTGGGCCCCGGAGTGTTGTTGCAACTAGCCCTGACAAACTTAGTGAATGCCAGTGGGAGCTTGAAGCGGACACTGAAAACTTCATAAATGCAATTGAGGTTCGCCAGGCTTTAATATATAAGGATGTTATTTTCAGACCCTGACCTAAATGCAGAAAATCGTCTATCCTTATGCTTGGGGCGAGTACAATGTCCTGATTCTTCCCCCTAGCTTTCCATACGGAGGCATGGAAAACCCAATCTTCACCTTCGCGACTCCCAGCATTATCTCAAAGGTATTTACCGGAAATATACCAGAGTATCAACTGTCGGTGATTTCCTAACACGAGTTATCAGGATCGGGAAAATGTCGATGTTATTGCTCACGAACTCGCTCATAGCTGGAGTGGTAATCTTGTCACCAATGCTTCATGGGAACACTTCTGGTTGAACGAAGGCTGGACTACTTACCTTGAGAGACGTGTCAGTTTGTTTGCCCCTCAGGCCCCGTCAATCCTCTTGATACTACTGACAAAATTACACATACTGACCATGTAACAGATCCTAGCTGCGGTGTGAGTTCAAACGTTAGCGTCTTACGGATTAAATTGCTGATTTAGCCTGCAGACATGGTGAGGCCTATCGACATTTCTCAGCCATCATTGGTTGGAAGTCTCTTGCGGATTCTGTGGAGCATTTTGGACATGATCATCAGTTTACTAAGTTAGTCACTGATCTTAAAGGGAAGGACCCTGACGATGCATTCTCAAGTATTCCGTACGAAAAGGGATTCAATTTCTTATTCCACTTGGAAAATCTGTTGGGGAAGGAAAAGTTTGACCGATTCATTCCTCATGTAGGTCCCCATTCCTCCCCAGAACGGCAGCTTGCTAAAAGCTTCTAGTATTTTACGAAGTTCAAAGGAAAGTCTCTCGATTCGTATGAGTTTAAGGCAACCATGCTCGAATTTTTCCAGCATGATCTGGAATCCTCCAACCTCTTGAAAAATGTCGATTGGGATGCGTGGTTCTATGCTCCTGGCTTGCCCCCGAAGCCACAATTCGACACATCCCTCGTTGATGTGGTTTACGAGCTATCTAGCAAATGGAAATCCCTTCCTGACTCATCCTTTCAACCTCGGACAAGCGATATTGAGGGGCTGACAGCAAACCAAGTCGTGGTCCTCTTGGAGCAAATTCTTCTGTTTGAGCGGCCGCTTACCCCTGACCTGTCGAGGATTCTGGGTGAAGTCTACGGTCTCGCCAAGAGTGAGAACATTGAAGTCGCCAATCTCTATTTTCAAGTAGGGTTAAGGGCCGGCGACGATACCGTGTACAAACCAACGGCAGAACTCTTAGGCAAAATCGGTAGGATGAAATTTGTACGACCTCTGTAAGTATAGCTTGTCTACCACGAATGATTCCCCAGCTAACCCCATCATGTAGATACCGAAATCTACAAAAGGTTAATCGCCCTCTTGCCATCGAGACCTTTGAGAAGAATAAAGATTTCTATCATCCCATCTGTCGCGCGATGGTTGAGAAAGATCTCTTCGGAAAGAGGGAAGAGTAGGTTCAGATCATAACTTAGAAGTCGCCTCTGCTTGATCGTCTGTGTGCCAGTCTATCATGATTGTCATCCCAACAGTTATGCTTGGGTTTGGATTGAGAAGAGTCTATTATTGCTCAAGGTGTGTGGCAGCCGCTCTGATGCAGTATAACATAGTCAAAAGCATCACAGCATCTACTTGTATAAGCATGTATTCAGCAATTCTATACAATATGCATAGATGCATTATGAAACAGTTTACTATTGCGGACAGTAGAGATGAATTAAAACAATAGAGGAAGAGAAGCAAGCGAAAAAAAGTCATTACAAAGAAGGTCTTCAGCCAATTATCGCTTGCCTTGGACTAATTTCTTATCGAATTCAGAGTATCCGAAAATGCTGGGTTTATCGCCAGTTCGCTGGCATAGTTGGAAGATGAGATCCGCCTCGCTCACCTGAGAAAGCTCTGAAGTTACTCGCCGCATATATGCGACGACCCGAGCTATTTTCGTCCAGTCCAGCTCCTTCCCATCTGGTCCGGTATGGCTTGCTTTCCATAAATTTCTCCAGATAGCGGCACCTAGCACAGCGTCTCCTTTAACAAGGCCCTCATCATAGGCCGCAAGAACACCTCTCCACTGGATGAAGAGGTCCTTGAGAAACTTGTTCCGGATTGTACGACTGGTGAACCCATGTAGGACGTCCATGCGGTGCTCAGCATTATGCGAGAAGTGGTCAATCAAATGTCGGGAATAAGTTTGAAAGCTCTCGTACGACGGTAAGACTCGCAAGCGGACAGTCAAGAGGTACATGTGTAAAAATGTAATCTGAGACCAAGTTGAGAAGGTAGGTATGAGGCCAAGGTCTGATATTAACCACACGCATTAGTTTTACTAGCCAAGGTCAGTCAATATTGCGGAAACAAACCTTCATACCACCACCCTTCCCCAACCCCGAGATCTTCACCGGCTTCAGTTTTAGGGACTTGTGCCCCCTTTTGAGATGCCTGTGGTATACTGTAATCCGCCTGGCTAGAGCAGGCCTCGAAAAGCTTTTGTGTCATTCCATACGCCACATATGTCTCAGCAGTGGTCCCGGGACGGGGCATGATCACTCGAGATAATTGGGAAGAAGCCCGGCGAATCTGAAAACAAGGACAGGAGGATGCAGTAACTGTCCGCGGGTGACGTTGAGCATAGCGACAGTTTGTGAGGGTCGCGGGAACGGGAACCACTGAGTGGGGAGCGGAATCCTGGTAGAGAGCAGTAGATGTTGTGCATATAGTACGTTGCGACGAGATAGACGATCTAATTGCGGCGACCTGGGAATTTTTAGCTTGTCTGCACCATGACTTCCCATTCTTTTTTTTTTTCCGGGGGGGGTTGTACTCGAAGTCTTGAGCACCGGGGATAGCAAAGATCCAGCAGTCTTGCAGTGTACATATTTTTGGGAGGCATATCTAATAAAGAAAGGCTCAGCGACCAACTGTTACCGACTGGTGCGTAGTCGCAAATATGGGCCTGTGGAACGTTCTGCCAATCTCCTGTACAAATGATAGGGAAGCTGTGTTTGCATTGTTTGCTGCCAGGTGTAACGGCAACACTGCTCTTCCTGAGTGGATACTACCCTATTTTACTTGGGCTAGCTAGTATTATACTAGTACCTAGATAATAGAGGGTCGAGTCCAACTACACTGGACATGGATCACATTACCGTAGAGAGACGCTATCCATCACCTGATCATAGACATGACAAATGAAATTGTCGAATCTGAGGAAGCTTAAACCGCATGCCTTCATGAAGAGGACCACCAGGGTGCTGACGCCAACCAAAGCAAGCGCACTACCTAATTGCCCAACTCCGATACCAGCGAGTCTGACAATTGATATGTGGTGCTGACAGTCACAGTCTCCTGTAATAAAGGGCCTGCATGGTAAGAGTCGTTGTACAGCAAGACAGCGATGGCCGAGCTAGTCAAAAAGCGTTAGGATCATGGTCCCTTTGGCCCTTGTTACATCCTCTCCAGCGCACCCGATGTGAAAGTGTGCGAGGTCGAGCACAGTTAGGATTTTACTGCCATCTTATGATTGCCTTTTCTAATCTTCTAGAGTGACCCGTTCTAAACGTTTTTCGCGAAGAGGAAGAATCTCCGAAAGCCTATTAGGGTCACGCATAACGGCAGGAACATCATCTCTCGTTGTCGCTAGAGACTGTAAAGTAGATGTTAGCCTCCTCGGTTTGATACAGTGCAACCTCTACCCATCCGCTTTGCTCTTAGAAAAAATATATTCCATTGGCGGGAAAGAAATACCTGTCGAACTGTCTCATAGTCTAATTCTTTAGACTGGAACTCTCTGATCACCTCCAAAGTCTCAAAGTCGATATAAATCCTCGTGTCTCTAAGCCGAAACAGAACATTGTCGAGTCGTAGGAAGAATCTCGATAATAAAAGCAGCCTGGCTGGCATAACGCGAATTTTGCAGGATAGCATAGTGATGCCGTTATCAGCGAGTTCGTCTTCGTATAAAATGACTTCATCGAAAAAGAGTATGGGATCCGGCCGTTTTAATAATTCTAAGGGTATAGATTTTGTCGTTGGTTTAAATGACCGACCATCAGCCTGAACGGTGCCCGTATAGTCTGTGGTGTAGGACCAGTCAAAGGGCTTCACAACCTCCTTGATGCCTTCATGTGTCTTTTCTCTACTAAATCGTCAATAACTTATCGCTAAGGGGCCCTTACGCAAAATATCCTCAGTACCTGCTTCTCTGCCACTCTTTTGAGTAAGCGACTTTGAGCATCGATGCGCCAGTTTTGTCCACGCGATCCAAGGCGTCAAACGCATTGAAAGTTATCCCCCAGCGGCTTTTTTCATGTTGAATCGTGACAAAGTTGTCACCGAAGATCATTTCTGGCGGCGCGATTCCTAATCTTTTGGTCATGTCTTCAATCGGGTCAGCTTTTAGTATAGGCCGCTTTTCTGTAGTGATCTTGAAGCCTTGCACGGAAATGGTGTTAGGTTTTCCAGTAGCGTGGGACACCGCAGCAGGATTCCCCATGGCGAATGCAGATACACGGGAGCTCCCAGAAGACATGTTGAATATTGCAGATGAATAGATAGCGGGAAGTGCCTTGGCTCCAGGGATCCTTATCGACCATTTGCGGAGGGTTGATCAACCCCGCGGTGTCGGAGAAAGAGGTAGTCCGAGGCGTTGCTGTGGTGACGTGCTGAGGAGCGTGATGTGATCAACAGAAAAGCCAAGACACTTGATTTGATTTGCTTCAACTTCCTTGTCAACAGCAGCAGCACCAATCAGACTAGATAATATCTATGTAAACTACACAAGTGCTACAAAGCTGCCTTGTTTTCCTATCCTTTCCTCATCACCTTCCCATAGACAACGAGCCCCTGGCGCTTAGCGACATCTTAGCCATGGCCACCAAGACTTTGGAAAGCCGCTTTGAACATCTTTCGGTCAAAGACGAGAATGTATCAAACAATAGCTGTAGCACCTATGCGAAGAATAAGGTAAGTACTGCCACTTCGCCGCACAGTGCATGAAGCATTCACTTACTCATGTTGGGAATCAGGGCTCTCTGTCAACGGCTGTCTCCCTTTCTGGACTTGGGACCGCGGCACCATTGAACAATAGCGCCAATCGGTCGAATCTGCTCAAGCTGGCTCTGCATAATACAAACGACAGCAAGGTCAATTCGATAAACGCTAGTTCATCCCCTACCAAAGGTACACTATCGCATCGCAATGTAGATGAGAACGGAGACCAGCGCCACCAAACATCGCTTTATGACCAACCAGCACCGAAGAAGCTACATCTGGGGATGTTTGAAATAGGAAAACCCTTGGGCAAGGGTAAATTTGGCCGCGTTTATCTAGCCAAGGAACGATCTTCCGGTTTTGTGTGCGCTCTTAAGGTCTTACACAAGTCTGAATTGCAGCAGGGTGGGGTGCAAAAGCAGGTCCGAAGGGAGATTGAAATCCAGAGCAACTTACGCCACCCGAATGTTTTAAGACTCTATGGTCACTTCCAAGACAGCAAGCGAATTTTCCTGATCCTTGAATTTGCCGGCCGGGGAGAACTGTATAAACACCTGAGAAAAGAACATCGATTTCCGGAGTGGAAGGCTGCTCAGTATATTGCCCAGATGGCCGCTGCCCTGAAATACCTGCATAAGAAACATGTCATGCACCGTGACATAAAGCCAGAGAATATTCTCGTCGGAATCCATGGTGAAATCAAGATTAGTGATTTTGGGTGGAGTGTCCATGCGCCCAACAACAGGAGACAGACAATGTGTGGAACGCTTGATTATCTACCACCTGAGATGCTCAAGCCAGGCTCACAGGACAACTACTACAGTGAAAAGGTTGATTTGTGGAGCTTAGGTGTACTGACTTACGAATTTCTGGTCGGAGAGGCTCCATTCGAGGACACCCCTGTCATGACACAAAGACGGATTGCACGAGCGGACATGACAGTTCCTTCCTTTGTGAGCCCCGAGGCCAAAGACTTAATCAAAAGAGTATGTTCCAACCTCTGGAAGGCAACTGAATGCTACCTCACACGCTTACTCCTCATAGTTACTTGTTCTTGATCCTGAGAAGCGTATTTCGCTAGATGAAATTCAAAAACACCCTTGGATACTCAAGCACTGTCTTAAAGACGACCGAGTTACGAAAAGAAGTTCTGGTTCTTCAAAGGAAGGTAAAGCATGAAGCGTTGTCTATGCATTTCAACGGGGTTTTGGAGTTCAGAGAATTTTTTTAAGCTCCCAACGGAGTCGACTTTGAATTGGCAGAGATACTTGTGCTCATTTGCTTTTATGAGGGAGTGTGGAGTATGGTGTTAATTGTTATTTTCGCTCTGGTTACATCAGACATAATATACATGGAATTTTCGAATAGAGAAATGGAGTAAGTAAACACGTATGAGGGTAGGCTAGAGAGAGACCATGGTGTCATCGGTAGATTTCATCGAACGGCCGAGTGTCTCTGAAGCAGCTATCCCAAACTTCGTTTACAACCCTCTCGGCGTGAGCTTCATCCTTACATGCAGGCCTTGCCCGTACCGACAATATCGCTCTTCTTTTGACACATTCCTGATGCTGTTGTGTGAATCGCCATTGACCTCGTCGAAAGAACTCCCGCGCCCATCTGCATTCCCCACTGAGTGAACTGGCCCGTATCTGAGCTATAGTCAGCAAAATCCCTGTCAAGGACTCCCGGTTTTTGATACCTCAGTACACGCCGCATGCCTCAAGTTATCTGCCCAGTTAACTTTAAATCTCAAGTGATCATAAGCATGGACCATTTCGTGAGCCATTGTGTCCTCGAGATGTCCTTGGTCTTTCATCTCATTTGCGCAAAGCAGGATCCCAAAGTCCGGGTCAAAGCCTCCCGCTTTCCTGTTCGTACACCGACGGCAATAAATATTGTGGCTAGAGAGGTCGCCTCCGAGTTGTCGAATGTTGTCGCTCAGATAACGGATTACAGGGCCTAAAGCGCGAATATCTTAGTGTCTGTCTATCCGGGCTTCTAGAAGCCGCTCGAAATGGGATATAGGAACCCACTCCATTGAAGAAGGTAATCACGCTGATCCTCACAGCGCTTGCAATCTGCGGCTTCATTTCGAATGTCCCTTGCGACACGAAACTGTTCGATGCCTTCATCTGACATTTTTCCCGTCAAGATTGCAAAGATATTGCGCCATTGTGTCCATGTGTCATCCCCTGGTAGAAACCCGGTATTACGAGCACTTGCCGGAGGTTCTGATGTACTAGACGATTGTGACTCTGACATCTTGGAGGAAGCAAGCATTGAGTCCAATAATCTCACTATGTCTTAACATGCTGAAGCTCAGCATGCGGAAGAGAGTTTCGCCGACGCTCTCCGCACAAACTGGCGGTAACAAATGGCAATATATATATCAATAGCATGAATTACTCCGACCCCGGAACTTGATGTGCACAAGACGGGGCTTCCAGGAGAAAAGGCGCTTAAAACCTGGAGGCAACATCTGATTTGGATACAGTGTACGAGAGGCGCTCTTGCATGTTAAGCATTGGCTATATTAGGGGGCCCATGTTACCATGGCCTGTCGACGTCTCACAATCGTTATCAAATTAGGTGCGGGGATCAGTCCGGTTTGACAATACACATATTTCAAAGAATATCAACTCATCCTTTTCCAACAGGGACTAGTTCCATAGTAGATGAAAACACCCACGAGCCGATACTTTCGATTCTCACCCTGATCGTTGAAGCCGCAGCCAAACTTCGTCGGGATGGCCATAATGTCGTTCTTGTTTCCTCGGGGGCTGTTGGTGTGGGGTTGCGGAGGATGGATGTGGAAGAAAGGCCCAAGAATTTGCCTCGCATTCAGGTATGGATAATTACATGGGCTGTCAGTCAGGACATTCACTCATACTATTTACCAGGCACTCGCGGCTGTTGGACAATGCAGACTCATGAGCCTCTGGGATAATTTATTTTCGCACCTTCGTTTACCAGTGGCTCAGATTCTCTTGACTAGGAATGACATAGCAGATGTAAGGCCTAAGTGTTCATAAATAATATGGTAAGCGACGTCTAACTTATACCAAGAGAACGCAATATGTCAACGCCCAAAATACCTTCTCACAGCTTTTCGATATGGGCGTGATCCCTATTGTCAATGAAAACGATACTATAGCCGTTTCGGTAAGACCTTAGCCAAGTATTATATTGGTTTAATGGAACCTAATCACATGTTTTGTCTAGGAAATCAAATTCGGTGATAACGATACACTGTCGGCCATAACAGCCGCCATGGTCAAGGCCGACTACCTTTTTCTTATGACGGATGTTGACTGCCTTTATACTGCTAACCCACGTCACAACCCAAATGCAAGACCCATCGAAGTTGTCTCAGACATATCCTCGTTGGAAGCTGATGTGTCCTCAGCTGGATCCTCCCTTGGGACTGGGGGTATGAGTACCAAAATTGTCGCTGCAAAATTAGGAACTAGTGCTGGCGTAACGACGATTATCACCAAGAGCTCGAAACCTGGAAACGTTCATGAGATTGTAAAATATCTCCAGCAGCTTAAGCAAAAAGAACATACATCCACAGCACTGAATGACACAGTCACAGAAGTACCCCCTCTGCATACACGCTTCCTTCCTTCTGACCATCCGGTTCAATCCAGGACATTCTGGCTGCTCCACGGTCTGAAGCCCCATGGGACCATATTCATTGACCACGGCGCATACAGTGCCCTCCAGAAGAAAGCCAGTCTCCTACCAGCGGGCGTTATCGGTGTGGATGGTCATTTTGCGCAACAGGAGGCAGTACGTCTGGTTGTAGTACAGAGACTCTCCCCTGATTCATTGAATGGCGATTTTCTCCACCACGGCCAGGAGCCCAAAGAGGTTGGGCGTGCACTGGTCAACTACGGCAGCCTCGAAATCGAGCGCATCAAAGGGCACAGGAGTACTCAAATCCAGACTTTGCTTGGATACGCAGATAGTGAATATGTCGCTCTTCGAGAAAATATCTCCTTCTTTCAACAGGACGATCCTCCATCGCGGTAGCCAACCGTTGGTTTAGGTAAATGAAATAACTGCTTTGCATAGCTTTCATACCACAACGTCTTTTTCGGCATGTTGTGCCATGAAGAGCGACTTTGCTATCCTAGGACAATATTATGATACCTAAATTTCAATATTTATGCTTACAACAGCGCTGCATGTAGATGAGCACCGAGCTTCCATGAGCACTGCAGTTCTCATAGATATCATAGAAAAACCGTGTTCAATCAACTCAAACCCAAACAATTAAATACAAGCCAGGCAGCTATATGAACGCCACAGGGAAGCCGACCAAACCCAAACCAATGCAAAATCACATGAAAAACTACAGTCGATAACCCACAGTCACGCCCTTAATAGCCTGGCCCTGTGACTCCAGATGTACTGCTGATGTTCAATCCTTCCACCTTTCCAAAAATCTCTTCATTTTCTTATCGTGGGGATGTGGTGCAGGGGATGCCTATACAGCTGGTCAGTTACTGGAATGTCGACCTAAGAGATAAAGCCTTGCGATACATACAGTATTCTCGATACTGGAAACAGAGTACGTTAAAGAAGCCGACACAGTGGTCTGAATTGTAGGTGCAGAAAGGTATGCAGTAGCAATCTCGTATGCACTGGTCGGAAATTGGGGAGTTGGCGACTTATCCGCTGGAATTGTTGACCCAGGCTTTTTAGCCATAGGCGCATATCTTGTTGGCCCGGTCTGCAATTGGTATGGGATTGTATAAGCTCCAGCAGCTTGTCTTCTCCGCAGTTCTTGTTGTTCACGGCCTTCGCTAAGCAGGCCAATGCCATCCTCCAGATTCGACGAGAAAGCGCCAGCCATGTCTGTGAGTGTGAAACGATCGGAGAAATTGGTTACATGGGCGTCGGGACCAGATGCAACCATTTTCAGGAAGCTACAGACAAAAGCCATTGTTAACAGGATGAGCTGGCGAGTTCCGGGGGTAGGCCTTATTCTTACTATGCGTTTGGTTCGTTGCCGCCAACTGCTGGATCAATCTTGAAAGAAACCGAGTTGCCGCGGGAAAAGACACCATCTTTAATAAGGATAGCCAGGTTCTCCTACAACGGTCCCTCGTGGTCAGTGAAAGGTTCACTAGCTTATAGAGACGAGGTGTTGGCTGTTGAACGAACTCACCTGGGACCCCAATGTGTCTCCGCCAGCACAAAGATAAAGGTCGTAATGTACAAGTTCGGAAATGCGAGGAGACTCGCCAGAGTCCTTCCAATGTGCTGTTACTACATCTCCGGCCTTTATTATTGTGCCACGCGCTGGCGCTGTGAACTCGACATCTGCCAGCGCTGTCGAGAATAGAGGGAGGACCACAGGTAACGAGCGTATGAGTTTCATATTGGATACGGACTCCAAATCATTCGACAGTGGCGGTTGAGCGATAGGGAACCATCAAAGGAACGGCGAAGGATGGACTGGTAGAAAGAAAGAAAGAATGAATGAATGAAAGCTCTTGGTCTCGCGTACGATGAATACCATCAGATCACCAACCCTACCGCCATCCCTGCGAACCGGAGGTATGTGAGATTGGCGAGGTTGGATTGATTGAATTTCAATGCTCGAGCGGGAGACCTCGTAATGTAATATACATACATGAACTTATATATTTATATATATATATATATATTACAGTATCGTGCATATGACGATGGTATCATATAAGTACACCGTATGTACACCGTACTGTACTATACTATACAGACGGTAAACCTGGAATCTAGACGCTTACTAGGCGTTTCCATGTTTTTAAGAAGAATCTGACACAACCATAATATGTACTTATGCAGGCACTGGTAAATTCACTCCAATGGCGGTGGCATGATGTACGGAATGATGTCTGCAGCAGCCGGTCTAGCTTACTTATGTAGTTAACTTAGTATTAGCTAACCTGCTGAAAATAACATTAATTTACTACTTTTACGACTACTAATCCACCATTCTAGCTTGGCTCTCTACTACCTGGTTATTCCTCACCCGTCTTGTTGGAGGCACTTTTCAGGTCATTCCCACCATCCATCTTATCCGCTGAGATGGAGAGTCACGCAGATTGGAGATCAATCGGTGGCATTGCTACTAGTCTGCTCGATGGAAATCCTATCGCGATCGCTATTACCGCATTTGTTGCATTCGGGCTGCCAATACTGCTGCATCTGATTTTCTATCAAACCGTTGCCTCCCCGCCATCTAGCAACTTCTTACTGCTTGGACCCAGCGGAGCAGGCAAAACTGCTCTCTTGTCCCTGGTAAGCCTATTCAGCTTAATAGCCACGTCCACAAATTTATCAAAAGACCTATGGGACGAATACTGATATGTTATCCTGTGACTTTGATAGCTTGAAGCGAAATCGTCGCCTCTTGCGAAGAAGCAGACTCAGCTCACGCATACTTCTCAGACGTCAATTCTAACAACTGTCAGCCTTCCTGCCTCCGTCCCTACTGCCTCAAATCGCTACCGGTCGGCCAATGATCCATCCTTGAAGGACACATCCAGAAACCCTGTCAAATACCGTGTGAGAGACACACCTGGCCATGGCAAACTACGGGGACCTCACGGTATCTCGCAACTTTCCTCCATGTCAGACTCGAAGGACTCGAAATCCAAATTACGTGGGGTCATCTTTACTGTTGACACCGCCGCCCTTTCTGATGTTGAAGTGTTGCGCGATACAGCCTCATATCTGTATGACGTCCTTCTTATTCTTCAAAAACGGGCATTGAATAAAGGCAAGTCGTCTCTTAAGGTGGCCTCGGAGATTCCGATCCTTGTGGCTGCCAATAAGCAAGACCTTTTCACGGCTCTGCCACCTGGTTCTGTGCTGGAGAAGTTAGAAGCTGAAATCGATAAAATACGCAAGTCCAAGAGCAAGAGCCTTATGGATGCCAGCGTTGATGCTAGTATGGGTGACGGTGATGATGATATTCTAGGTAGCAGTGATGCGCAGGATACATTCAGCTTCAAACTCTTGGAGGACGAAGTCGGTGTGAGAGTTGATGTTGTCGGCGGCGCTGTTAAGGGTGATGAGGGGAGTGACTTTGGGTCTGGTGTCAGGAAGTGGGAAGAGTGGGTTGGCCAGTGTCTGTGACCGAAGCTGTCGCCTTTGTTACGACTTTACAATATGTTCTCGACCTGAAATGCGCGAACGGTTTCTATGCTACACAAGTAAAGAACAAACTAGGCTAGCGCACCTGGATATTAATCCTAGGATGCTGTTATAATGATTAAGAAAAATGATTTGATATTAATATGGCATCTAGCCATCGACGATACGGGTTTCGTCTTATTCTTCGGGGCCTACAGCGTCTGCTGCTTTGGCCTCTATCCAATCCTGTGGGTAGATAAGACCACAAAGTAAGTAGTGATCTATCATGTGGGAAGGAACACTGAGCGAAATAGGAAGCGTTCGTAATGGGAGAGAAGGCCAGGGCTTACCCAAAGTCCACGAGCAAGTTTCATATCGCTAGCAATGGCAGTTGTCTTGTACGACTTTGCGATAGGAATGAAGTACTGACCATGGGTGCTGTCTGATATTACCTTTGGACTCGCGGCCAAATAAATTGCATTTGCAGCACCATCCTCCAAGCTCTGACCAATGATTGAGAATAGGCGCCTAAGCAGGGAACCCAGGGCTTCTCCGACATACTCATCCCAAACACTCCACTGATCGGTAACGATGTTACCCGGGAAAAAGGCATTAACGTAAATCTTGCTACTTGCCGGATCCTCTTCTTGCATCAACCGAAGGCTTAGCTCCCTTGCGAAGAGTATGTTCCCTAGTTTCGCGCGAGCATAACGCCACACACCGTCGATATATGCTGGCTTGAGGCGAGTGGGTGAGGTAAGAAGGTCGAGGTTGAGCTCACGGCAAAATGCGTGCATAGACGAACTAGCTACCGCAATCCGCCCATTGCTAGCCTTGCCCTGGGTGATAGTACGCTTCATGAGAGGCAGCAGATTGGTTGCCAACACCTGATGGCCAACGCAATTCGAAGCAAATACCTGTTCAATACCCTGCGGCGATCGTTCATACTCGGTTGATACACCAATGGCTTTTGCGGACGTTGGAATATCAACAAACAATCTGTTATATATAGGTGGGGTATACAGAGAGACGGGGTAAGTTCCGTCAATTGGGGATGGGCCAAAGGAAGAGTGAAGCGCCAGACGTACCGGCATTGCATATTATGATATCAAGCCTGTCAGTTCTGCGCTTGAGTTCGTTGGCTGCATCCTTGGCAGCCACTATATCTGTAAGGTCGCATTGAATGAACTGGACTCTCGTATCACCTTTCCCCAGGGAACCACCAGTACGACGCTGCCATTCCTCCTGCGCTCGTAGATACTTATCATGGCTTCGGGCAAGCACGTAAACCCTCTGAATTCTATGCAGAAGGAGCTGCGCAGTTATTTCTAGATCGACACCCGCAACTCTAGTTAGTGGGTGTGGCTAAATACTGGAAAAGGTTGTTGCTTGCCCTTTCCTATGCCCGCTTGACCACCCTGGGCAAGAAACTGGTCAGCGTTGAGCGCTGTGGGTGCCCCTCCACCCCCGAACGAGCCAAGGGGGGCAAAGTGAGTTATATGTGTGGGCTGATCTTCACACTTACCGTTACAACGGCCACTTTGTTAGTCAAGGAGGGAGTGTCATGCAGGGAGAATTGCCGATAGGTAAAAAAGCCAGACATTTTATAAGGCAGAGATAGGCGGCTGTGGGAAAACGAAAGCTAAAAACACGGTAATTATACCGGGTTCGATACCCATACGTCAGATATACATAAAAGTCCAGGATTTTGCCATTGAGGTCACCATTCTATCACTATCAGGATACTCTACGAACATCTAATGTTAATGTAATATGGTTTTGGATATGTCTGGTTGAGATAGACTCTGGTACTAAGCACCCTCTATTCGTAAGATGTTTCCTCTCTATTAGTCGCATAAATGACACCACATCGAGATAGAATAGACGTTATACTTGGCGTGACGAAGCAAAGAAGGAAAAAACACAGAATATAAGAAAACGTAGCATTGACAATTTCCAGTCTCGCGCTTCAAGTATACTAATATGCATAGCTCGAGGAGACACTATATTATGCCGATTCGTCCTTATGATGAAGCATCCATGTAAGTAGATCGACCTTTGTTGCAACTGCCACTGGTCTCATCACTCCTTGTTCATCCCTCTCAGTAATGACCGCTGCACTGTTCCATTCAAAGAAGCGATTCAATACGCTGAGCGGTGTGTCCATAGTGATTTCCACAAATTTCCGGTCTTTAACCCGGGGCTCCGAGCTATTCGCTTTTTCTGGCGTGGAACTGGTCAATCCCATATCTCTCGGGTCAGTGACTACCTCGGATATTTTACTGAAGTTGAACATAACATCTGACACAGGGCTCTTCCCAGTAGCACGTCCGTGGGTGAGCCGACTGAGAACATTCCCTAGAGTCACTAGTCCTACGAGCTTCTTGCCAGAAGGTGCAAGCACTGGCAGTTGGTCGAATCCTCGATCTCGCATCATTTCAATGGCAGTTTCACAAGAGATATTGGACTGGACGGTTGTGATGGGCTTTAACCTCAGCGAGCTGACCCTTGATCCAGCGAAGTCATCCTTTTGTTCATGTGGCTGCTGCAGTGTTGAGGGCAGGTCCGCAGCTTCGACCGGGGGCGATGTCAGGAGTCCATTAGCAGCAAGCCAGTCATCGTCAGCAAACTGATATTAGTTAGCGCAATAAGTCCTCAACCAATCAGTGGGTAGTTCAATGACCTTAGTTAAATAGCTTCTGATGCTGTCAGGCAAAATGACAACAATCACATCATCCTTCCCGAAGTTGTAGTCCTTCGCCGCTTGCGCCAGAGCTGATATGGCGCTCCCACTGCTTCCTCCTACAAGGAGGCCCTCTTCAGCAATTAACCGCCGAGAGTACTGGAATGAATCTTTATCTCCAGTTTTGTACCACTGGTCCACGGCCTGCTGGTCGAGCACTTGGGGAATGAAATCATACCCAATTCCTTCAACCTTGTATGGTTCGTTTACATGGTCTTCGTTTAGTGAAGGCGGCAAAGCTAAGATGGAACCATGAGGGTCAGCTGCAATAACCTTGATATCGGGGTTATGCTTCTTCAGGCCCCGAGACAGTCCAGTGATTGTTCCACCAGTTCCTGCGCCGGCAACAATGGCCTTGATTTGGCCCTTGGTCTGCGTCCAGACTTCTTCCGCTGTACCCAATTCGTGGGCCAGCGGGTTATTCTCGTTACCATATTGGTCTAGGATATGCGCGTTCGGGAGTTCCTTCTCAAGACGCTTGGCGACACCGATGTGAGATTCCGGTGAATCGTACGCAGCTTCATTAGGAGTTCGGATGATGGTTGCATTCAACGCTTTCAGTACGGCCACCTTCTCAGCTGACATCTTCTCCGGGAGAGTAATTATGGTCTTGTATCCTGCCATAAGCCACAGAGAGAGTTAACAATCTGGCATGTATCATTTAGCAGACGATGGCCTACCCTTTACAGCGCCGACGAGCGCCAAACCAATTCCACTGATGTAGCTATTAGCAAAAGATATTATATAGGAAACAAACAAGCATGTTAATAGACCTACGTGTTACCGCTAGTGGGTTCGATGAGAGTATCACCAGGCTTTATGCGCCCTGATCGTTCAGCCTCTTCGATCATGCGCAGAGCAATCCTATCTTTCACACTTCCTCCGGCATTGAAGTATTCCAATTTCGCATAGACAGTTGCCTCAATCCCAAGGCTACGTGGAAGTCTATTCAAGCGCACGAGGGGTGTGTTGCCAATGTGCTGAGTGATTGATTCAAGAGCCACCGGAGGAATGGCTGGCGTGGTAATGCAAGACATTTTGATGGGGATTTGGACAATGTCTAGCAATCGAATTCAGGCCAAAGGGGGAGGAAGAAAACAAAAAGAAGGGAAAGAAAGTAAAGGGAGGCAAAAAAGAGAAAGGAAAAAGAGCAAAAAAAGTTGGGGAAAGGTTCAACAAGGAGAAAGAAAAAAAATCTCGTAAGATGTTACACACCCCGCCCGAAGGTAACCGTTGCCGCCACATTTAAGACAGTACGTAGTAGTGGTTCTCATATGATATGCTATTGGTAGCATTGTTTCTCTACATACGTTGTTGATTTAGTGATATTATAGACAAATCCATGGATGTATCTCGTGGTTTGAGTAGTAGTGTACTTAGTACGTCGCATATATAACAGTGGCATTTTATGTGTACGTACTAGTTGTCTTGTTTTGATCTCCTTTGCCCCTCCGAAGTAGATTTCTATCTGTCCAGTGTGACCAATCGTGATTCGTTACCCACCACATGCTTGTTTAGAAGGTTAAAATTAAGCTTGGTCCAGACCATCCTTCCTTTAATCAATCTAACTTGGTAGAATCTAGACGAATAGTTATACTATTCACACATCCATATATATAGCAGGATCCAACCCTTTGAATCAATCCTATGCTGCACATCGTTAAATAATGAAGACATTACACTCCTAGATGTTTGTCTGCCTACATGACATGCCACTTAGAGTTAGTATAAAATTAGAGATTGCGGATTTTCCTTGCTGCTTGAATTAGGTTCAGTACGTAACAATCAATCTCCATCGCCCGCTCCTTATTTTCTCTTTTTCTTTCTGGTCTTGTTTGTTTTTCTTTTCTTTTCTTCTCTCTTTTTTTTGGTGGGGTGGGTTAAGGTAAATTTTGGGCCTTATGGGTTATTCGACTTTGTAAAGCCAGCACTAAGCACACTATACACTGCATACGTGGCTGTGTATCGGGAATCATGGGTGGAGTAACTGCTCCTCACCCAATGGACAGTTTTGTTTGTCTCCATTTCTCCATAAGGGATTCATCCTCCACTAGGTCTAGCTCTATGATAACTCAAACTTCAAATGGGGGAACTCTCTTTGTACATACAAATCTGCAGTCTATCTCAAGTACATTCTAACTTATATCTGTCACTTGAGTGTCCTCAGGAACCTGAGAATCAAATGTTCTCTTTCTACATCAGCATGAATGACTCCATAATACGTGGTAGACTTAGGTATACAATTAGTCCAGCTGCAACGGGGCGGCCCAAGTGGTTACAGACCCTCTCTGAGAGCCACTAAATCTCATCCAGTGATTCGATAGCATGTATACGCATTGGCGTGCCAAGAAAAGCCTCAGCACATCAATCACCGATCCATCGTCTGCGCCTCCTTCGGTAGATACTAGTTTAAGGGGGCTCTGGATTTGGTTGAATTGAAAATTCTGGAGACTTCTGACTACGTCTTACCAAGCTGGTCAAGCACCCTAGGGTTGTGTGACACCAAATCTTCTTTTTGTCCACCAAATCTTAATTTACTTATTCTCTCCTCTTCTTTCCTTGGCCACGGAGCTTGCTGGCATCCCACCGCATCGACTATTAAAAAGGGAAAGAAGAAAAAGAATTGAAGAAGCACGGCTCCATAAACCTTAAAACAATCCTCTGTTTGGTGCTTAGGGTGCAGCCAACACCAGTGTTTGTTTTCTTCTAATTTGCTATCCCATCTCTCACCCGCTGATTTTCCTCTCCACGTTTTGTTCCAAGAGCATCTATTAAACATGTTATAATATATCTTTTTTCTGGACGTGTTTGTGCCTCTTTATCTCAATAACCCTTGCATTTCTCTTTCTTCTTCTTCTTCTTCTTCTTCTTCTCCTCTTCGTTTCCTTTCCTGCGGCATCTTTGTTAACCACATCTCAAAAGGCCCAACAGCCACGCAACAGTTATCATATTTTTTATTTCTGAAACAAGCAGTTAACGCTCTGGATGATCATGGATAGCATAGAGAAATTGCCCGCTACACAAGGAGAGGGACAGGGCAACGAAGGTTTGAGAATCACTCAGCCGACGGGCTCACACGATGGTTCCCTACTCCCCACACATAACGAGAAGGCTTCCCTTCGCCGCAATAGACTGTTCCGTATAGATACAGCTGGTGAGAGCGGGCGAAGCGGGATTCACCCAATTCACTTCTTCCGGGTGTGCTTGAAGAGTACTTGTACCCTGTCAATGCTGGTAAATGTTCTCTGGCCGTTTGTTCCAGCGGCTATCGTCATCCACTTTGCTCGGCCCGATCTTCATGTCTGGATCTTTGCCCTCAATTATATTGCAATGGTTCCCTCGGCAAACTTGCTTGGGTTCGCAGGAGGGGAGCTCGCGAAGAAGTTACCCAAGGTTTTCGGGGTTCTGTTGGAGACAACGTTGAGCTCGGTGGTAGAAATTGTCCTCTTTATGGTTCTGATACATAATGACAATAACGGCAACCTGATTCCTGTCATTCAGGCAGCGATCCTCGGTTCTGTGTTGGCGAATCTTTTGCTTTGTCTGGGTCTGTGCTTTTTCTTTGGAGGCATGGGGCGTGAGCACCAGTCGTTCCATGAGGCCGTGAGCGAGGTGGGCACGGGGCTCCTCCTGGTTGCCGGCTTCGGTCTGTTGATTCCGAGTGCTTTCTTTTCGGCGCTGAGCGCCAACAGCTCTAAGACAACTATTACCAATGAAGTCCTGTCTCATTCTACTTTGGTGATTAGCAGGGCCACTGCCGTTATCCTTCTGGTCGCTTTTCTGATGTGAGTTCGCATATTCAAGCGTCGTGGCATACCACCTTACTCACTTCCGTTCTCAGGTACCTGGTTTACAACCTACATAGCCATCACAGCATATTTGACGAGGTCCTTGAACTAGATGAACATAAGGATGAAGATCGGGAAGAGGAGATGAAGCGCGCAAAGCTTACGCTAGTCGAATGCTTCGTGGCCATCTCAGTATCTATCGCATGTGTCTGCATGTCTGCCGTTTTCTTGGTCCAGGAAATTGAACATATTGTCCATGAAAGAGGCGTTTCCGATAATTTCATGGGTCTAATTCTTGTTCCCTTGGTAGAGAAAGCAGCAGAGCATTTGACTGCTATTGATGAAGCCTGGTAAGTGCAATACTACACTCAAATATTTATCAAGGGTGAGTTCATCATCGCCTGACTCTTCGCAGGGACAACCAAATCAACTTTGCACTCTTCCACTGTCTCGGTCCATCTATCCAGACCGCTTTGCTAAATGCTCCACTGGCGGTCCTCGTCGGCTGGGGACTTGGTAAGGAAATGGGTCTTAATTTTGAGATCTTTATGATTGTCTTGGTAGTATTATCCATTCTCGTCGTCGGAAACTTCTTGCGGGACGGCAAGTCCAACTGGCTCGAGGGAGGTCTCTGTGTGCTTATATATGTGATCATTGCGGTCACTACATGGTATTACCCCCAAATTGAGCCTGAGGGAGCATCCATCCACCATGAGGCATGACTGTGCACATATTCACAATGGACTAAACTTGTTTGCAATTCTTAGTGGGAAGTAATTTATCTGGAGTGAGGAAGTGCTGCGCATCTTCTAGGGGTACGGGTCATCTTTATATCGCACAAATTATATAGATGCAACGTTAAATAATAATAGATGATAAGATATTAGGTTTATTCTGCGAGTGGCCAGTTGAAGGTACCTCAAACACGTAGCTGAATATATATTAGTAGTTGGATAGATCATTTAGTTAATCCATGCCGACAAATAAAAAAGCGGTGACGGCATTGATCCCGACGTCTCCCTACCAGACAACAGATTAACACACCAAACCCAAAAATGAGTCAGTTAAACGACCAAACGAATACTCTGATTATCGCCTTAAAAGACCGTGATATTCCATTGAAATATGCTGAGGTTGAATCAGCTTTCACCGATGGGAAAGAAGCTGCCGTGAACGAAAAATGGGTGATGGAGCACCTGAACCATGATACTCTTCTATCCCAAGAGGAGCTCACCTTGTGTGTGCGCAGACTTCCTTTAACAACCTTACGTATAGTCAAATGTTAACATGCAAGGTATTGACTATACAAATAGGTATACGAAACTCGAAAGTACCGGCTCTTTACAGAATATCATGCACAACCCCGATACGAATGCGGACCGACCGTTGCTCGATGAAGATGTTCGGAAGGCGATTGACTCGCTGAACGATTCAACCGCTGTGATCCAGAAACAAAAGCAGATTTTAGCATCCCAATGCGACAATATAGATAAAGAGCTTCGCCGAAAAGGTGAACGAGAAGTCAGACGCAGCACCGGTATAGAACACCTGCGTCAGAGATACAAATCAGAAAGGCAAAGCACGAATGCCGTGGTAGTGATCGCCCTCGATCTTAAACCAAGATGCTTAGCTGATTTATATGCCTGCAGTCTATTGAATTGGCTCAGGAAGTGACAGCGGGCTTGAAAACCGAATCAGAGAACACAGCAGTGGATAGTAAAAGGATATTGTCAACTCTTGCAGCTTGGCTAAAGGAGGACGATAGAGCACTAGTGGACCTAGAGCGGCTTGGATCTGGTATGGGGTCTACTGGAGATGATGCCTCTGTAGTAAAACGGACCTCCGAGTTAAGCACGATACTCGCCGATTGTCTTGCAGAAGAAATACAATGTCGGCTCGATCGAGTTTACTTGGAGAACCTCCGGGCCGGTCTATTCAAGGCCAATCAGAACCTTAACGGTGCTGTGGATGAAGTTACAATCGCATTGGAAGGAGAACTGGAGTCCCTGTATCCGGAGATTGACATGCTGGCTGAGATGTATACCAAGCAACAATACACCGCACCTATATCACGCGCTCTCCAAAACCACCACGACCAGTGGCACATTGCTTCCCACAAGAAACTCAACTATGTAAGTCGGCCATCGACCACGTTTACATTGGCTAACCAGGTATAGATCTTAGACCTGGTCGCTGAGATGACGTTATCTACAGAACGTCTCACCAAATCCCTGCAAGATCGCGAGTCATTCTGTGGGACTCTCGAAACTTTCAATACCACGTATCGAACCAAAGTAGGTAATCAGTTTTCTGAAATATCTGTACCAAGACGAGAGGATATTAGAAGACGTTCGATCCAACCAACGTTGGCATACACACCTGCCGCGAAACGCATCGATTCGGTTTCCGAGTCCCATGCCCTCGCCGCTGTCTTGCGCCGCACAGGCTTATCTTCCGAGTCGGTGTTCCAACCCGAAGAAGGTAATGTGGGCACCGATGTGCTTTTTGACGCGAGACATCACATGTTCGATTGTCTGCAGAATTATGGCATTGCCGCAGATGCCCCTCTGGTGACCGAAATGATCTCGGGTGATCAGGCAACCCGGCTTCTTTCGTCCTCCTTAAACGTCAATTCACACGTTAAGACTTTGCTCACGAGTGACATCCATGAGGCCGAGCTCTCTGACCTTCGACTTAAATTAGAGCATGTACAAAAAGGGGTTGAAATGCTCGACCTTGGCGTAGTACTTCAACGTGACAGGAGCCGAGAGACGTTTGTTGAGAGGTGGGGGTTGACATAAAGGATCCAATGTTTGACCACGGCCTCGAATAAGAAACTCGTGTGGTAATGACTACGAGATGAAAAGGAGGCTTGCAGGGCCTTGCAGGTGTTAATCAACTAGTGGCTGTCTTTGGCTTGCCCCTTTCTTGTTCCTTTAATTTTTTTATCTTTTATTTTCTTTTTCTCCTTCCCTTCTCTTCAAAACTAATTCACAAAAAAGAAAAAAGAAAAGACCGAATGGAAGAAAATAAATAAACTAGCCAAAGATGGTGAATCTTCATTCCCCTGGTTTAATAATTCGTTATTGATGGATAATGAACTGCGCCTCTCCCTGTGGCGGGTAATAGGGAATTTATGATATAGTCCTGTGCCACAGTTTTATCACGCGGCTATTGTCCACATGGTATATTGAAGGCTAGTATTCCATAGAATACTCTGATGGGTGCCCTAGATGCCCGTGAATTCACTACTAGTAGCTAGGAACTCAATCCTGCAAGTCATGCATACGTGTTGCCGCAGCCCATGAGTACATTGACTGAGTCCTCTCAGATCGGCAGCCAATCACAAAGGAATAAAGAAGGATAGAAGAGAGCTCTATCCCCAGCAAACTTGTGTAATGTAATCTCTTCCGTTGACGATATTTCCCCTCTTCTACTCATGACGGGATTATTGTTGTTTTTCCCTCCTTGCTTTTCTCTGCCTTACTTGCCCACCTGACTTGTAGTATGTCCTGTGACTGTAACCAGCCGCACCTGCGATACCCACAAGGACCACTGTGAAGTCCGCTGCCTCATCCTTACCCCGTTACATAGTGTTGGCATAGGGACTTTTAGCAAATGCAGCCTCGATTGATAGACAGGTTAGGCTGCAAGATATTACTACTAGGCTCTTTCTATCCACGATTTGGCAGTAGCATTTTCCTTAATAATGGCACTGATTCCATCCTTATGTCCCAGTATGAGGTGTCTCGTTCACCTCTCCTTATAGTTTCGACCACGAGTAGTGTTCTTTCTCCTTTGTTCACTTGTGATGTTTCGTGGGCGGCGAGAAAGGGGCACTGCCCATCGTTTTTTATCTATACAAAGACCTCAGAAAGTCAGCACCCTTTATACATATTTATAGTTATCATTCCTCCTTAATCCCCCCTCTTTGCTTCCCAAAACGAGATATGCCCAATAATCAGGAGCGCAGAACCCATGACTCTGGTCACTGATCTCTTGTCCATGGGTTGCTTGTTCATATCTTCCTAATCAGCACCAAAGATATGCAGCATCTGTTTCTTTTTCTCACCTGTCCTTTGTCTCAGGAGAGTGTTTATTCATTATTGTCGCCCTTTATGCTCAGAAGGCTTTAGGGTCATTATACTTAGCGTTCCTAGCTTATCTAAAACCAGCAGTTGTCTCCGCTGCCCTCCAAAACTCCGTATCCCACTCTATGGCCATCGTCGAGCCCTTTAGCTATCTCAAAATACCAAGGCGCGTTTTGCTAAAAGATTGATACGCTTGTCAGATGGAAGTTCGAACCAAAAAGTTCATTCGGACCAGTGTATTTGGCACAGGCACTTGCTGCCACCCTCTAGGATGGGGCCCTGCGGTTCTCTATCTTCAACATGCCCAGCCGAAGAGTCTACGCATGATGGATCCAACTCGATACAAGATCATCGAGCCGAGAAAGCCAAGGCAGGCAAAAGTGTCTTCGAATACTTTCATAAGAACATCGCTAATGCGAAGCCGGCCGCTAAGATTTCGCTTTCCGTTTCTTGACAGGACTGCCGAATCAGACCAAGATTCAGAAACTGAATCGGAAGTGGAGTGGGAATCAAGCTCTGATGAAGTTAACATAGACTCAGATAGAGGAAGTCTATGTAGGCCAAGAGGACGCCACCGATCCCGCCAGATGTTCGTTGTCGGAAAGCCTGAAAATGAAAGGCGGGCACAGCGAAGGGCTCTGTGGTCCCCACCTCCAAAGAAACGATTAATCCGGTCCCCAACAAGGGGCCGTTTCGGATCGGACATTGTAGCAGATGGGGCTGATGTCTCTGCTCACTACCCTCGATCATGGCGAACTTCCGGAGGCTCTCGCGAAGCGAGAGACACGAAGCTGATCTCTGAACACGAAAATCCTAGATGGGAAGCCAGTATTCTTGAAATCCATAATCATCATCGCGCCAATCCCTGCGAAGAGCGGGCCCGCAGTCCAGACCGCCGAAAGGTGCGTTTCGCGCGCGACGTAGAGTACGTGAAGAACACCAACAGGGCCAGAGAGACTAGAGACAGAGAACGAGAGCGTCACCACGTTCGATCTTATCGCCACAGCCCCTCCGTCAATGACCCCAACAGGGACTATGGCACAGCGGATAGTGGTACGACCTATCGCCCTAGTTCACTGGAAAGGCCGTTCAAGGAACGTTGTCGAAGAATGAGTGCATCTAGCGAACGTGCTCAGCCTCACATTATCCATGTTGGTAACCGTCGAATGTCAGAAGCAGCGGAGCGCATACGCAGAGAAGCGTGGAGGAGACATAGCCGGGAGGGTTTACTGCGCGAGATGGAGTCGCAAAGTGGCTGGCGCCGCTATACCCGGCGACCTGACGAGCGGATAATTTATGATAGGGGCAGCCGACAATACGGCTGCCATTCACGAAGGTTATTTTGATCTTTATCCCACGGCACGGCGCGTTGGACGGGTTGCAGACCGTATGTTGCATGGCATCGGTGGTCTGGAATTGTCTGGATATTCAATTGTGAGGTTTTCCTTGATATTTGGGTTTGGCGGGCGGCAGGTTTCCCAATGGTAGTGTTGTTTAAGCCATTGAACTATGGCAGCTCGTGTGTCCATCAATTTAAGTACACTGTAGGTAAATAATTTTGGTCACTTTTTTATCATTCCGTGCAGTCAAATATGGCTTGCGAGTTTCAATTTCATCTCGAAGCTTAGGGCCGCGGTCTATATCAACCCAGTATGTCCAAGATCGAGGGAGGGCCGGGTATCATGTGATTCCTTAAATTTAATTAATTCTGGGATGTCCTCCGTACTCCGTACGTATCAGTCAAAATCCCTCATTCTGCACCCCAGATTCCCCTTAGCCAGATGCTTCGATCACTTCAAAGGTCTAGAATACACGTGCGGTCGTGAAATAAACCCGGAATGAACTGAACAACTGAACTCCCACAACAAGGAGATTGCCCGTGCGTTGACCAAAGCCCTGTGGATGGGTTTGTTATGTTAATTTTTCACGCCTATACATGTGTTTTGTTTATCACACCCCACCTACGTGGCTTGAATATAGGCACTCGGTCTTACCCCTCCTCACTTGTCTCTCTAGACACCTGCGTGCCATCTCTTTACAACTCAGTGCCGGCATAGTAATGTTTGTACCCTGGGCTTAGTCCCACAATGCCATGCTCATCCGACTGCTTGGTATACACCTGTAGGCTAGGTGTATCGCTCCGCGTTACTACATCCATCCCATCAAAAGTCTACAGCTTGTCGCAATGACGGGGTACAGCTCCGAAGATGGAGCAATTCATGATCCGCAGTCGGACGTAGTTTCTCGGTGGACACAGTCCGATCTGGGACCCGCGAGAGAGGACAAGGAAGGTGCCTTGAAGAGCGATGATATCGATCAAATGCCGCCAGCTTCAGCATTGGGACTGCTCTGCGTTTATACCGAACTGCTTGCTAAGCAGACCCCCATTGACAACCTGGACGACTGTCGGGTAGATGCTTTTCCCCTGGCCAAGGACAGGGCTCAAGGTGATAGCGTGTCCAGTGGGGAAGCCACCCCCGTAAGCGGTACTGAGATACATTGTTGCCCTGCAGGCTATAATGATGCGGGACGCGATCTTATCCAACTGGGCATACTTTCCAAGAGGTTTCTCTCAAGGCGCGTGCCTTCGATCACATTAAAGGACTACCTCCTGCGGCTTCATCGCTACTGCCCAATGTCAACAGCCGTCTATCTTGCTACAAGCATGTACCTTACCCGAATGGTTACTGTCGAAAGAACTATATCACTGAACCATAGAAACATGCATCGTCTGGTCCTTGCTGGTCTTCGAGTAGCGATGAAAGCGCTGGAAGATCTTAGTTATCCTCATAGTCGCATTGCGAAGGTTGGCGGAGTGACTGAACGCGAACTTTCGAAGCTCGAGATTAGCTTTTGCTTTCTGGCTGATTTTGAATTGCGAGTTGATGTTTCTATGCTCACCAATCATGCAAGGGCTCTCGAAGAGAATGTCGGCTATTACAGTGATATTGCCAGTTAGTATACTAATGCTACCAGCTCCCTGCATGAATTTGCTATTATTGTATGTAAGCCGATGGCTTTCGGGATGTTTATAGGATCCCTCTCTTTTGTTTCTTCTATGTTGTATGGTTAGCCTATCCAAATACTCGCCCGTCACTTAGGTAGCATCACAATGCGGTTGCCTAATTCAATATCTTTTATTTCCCACCATCTCTTACGGCTGAGTAATCCGGTTTTGTTATAATTAATGGGATTCAAAAGGAAACACGCACAGTCCTAGGCCGTTTATTGATGGACAGAGAATAGTTATTTCTTAGTATTCCTGAGATTCAAAAATATTGACAGTCGAGCAAATAAAAGCATTAATTACTTTTACCTCCGTACTCCGCGAGCCAGTGATTTGCTAGTGTCCGCGGAGAGTTTTCCCCGACCAAAGAAAAAGAAGCAGCCTCACCCTTCAAGTCTCTAGTATATTCTTTCTCGTTTTCTTTTTTGTCTCCTCGTCAAAACCTCCGGTACTTGCATCACAGATTACCGTATCTCCCTGGGCAGTTTTATCGATTAATAGACTGTTTATTTGTTTTGATTCAGCAATGCTTCTTTAGATCGTGTGGAGAGAGAACCAGTCACCGCCGAACGAGTTTCCCCGTGCACAAATTAGTTTGTCACGCTTTCTTCCACCTCCAAGGACCATTACAGGCGCCCACCCTCTTGAAACGATCTTCTGGGGATTGTAGACAGAAATGTCCGCCGGGAATTCTTCGACAGGAACACACACCAACGGCAATTTTGCAACCCTGGGTTCGAGTCCACCCTCCGCATTCGGCGGCAAAGGCCGAGCCATCCCTCCAAAGGTTACCCAGGAAGATGCCAGTGTTGAGCTTAAGGCAATGAACTCAGAGCGTGGAGCTACCAGGGGATCAATCCCCCTTGGTGAAGATATCATGCAGATTGCCCGGATAGGGGAGGTTTCTGCTATGCAAAGATTATTCGACGAGAAGAAGTTCAGCGCCAATCATAAGGATGAGGAAGGGATCACCCCATTACACGTTCGTATCTCGATCGACTTCGGTGCCTTTCATGCATTTGGTATCAGCAGTTAGAACACTTACTGACCTAATGGCTCCTCTTCTAGTGGGCTGCGATCAACAACCAGTACGCCATGTGCAAGTTCTTGCTAGACTCTGGTGCCGACGTCAATGCGAAAGGAGGCGAATCTGTAGCTACACCAGCGATGTGGGCAGCTCAACGATGTCATTACTATATCGTCCACCTCCTGCTTCAACAGGGTGCCGACCCTCTCCTTACCGATGTCCAAGGCTACAACATTCTTCACCTGGCTACTATCGATGGAAATGCCTTCTTACTGGTGCTACTTCTGCACCAAGAAATACCGGTGGATGTCGTCGACCAACAAGGACATACTGGCTTGATGTGGGCCGCTTACAAAGGGTATCCTGCCTTGGTGGATTTATTCCTGCGATGGGGCGCTAATGCCAATGCTGTCGATGAGAGCGGGCTTACTCCCCTCCATTGGGCCCTCGTGAAAGGGTCCTTACCCTGTGTTCTAAAATTGATCGAGTATGGCGCGGATAAGTTTGCAAAGACCAGGGATGGTAAAACGCCGGCAGTGGTGGCCGGGGAGATGAATACCACGCGCGTGTGGTATCGTGCTTTAGATGAATATGGTTATGACTTCGATGGGAATGTGAAGGTTTCCTCTTCTGGACTGACATCTTGGGTACGTAACAAGAGCTTAATGTCCAAGTTCTTTTTCCTCTGGCCTTTCGCCATTGTTTTCGCAGCCGTGTGGATACTGAGCAGTATGGTCGTCTACGCTGCTATCCCAATGATGCTTGTGACCGTCTTCGGGCTACAGTGGGTAGCGCAGAAGGCCGCCAGCCAAGGTCCTTCCGAATATCGGATTCTGCAGAAAACAGTAAGTTTGGGCTGCCTTAAAGGCTATTGTGCTGTTGTTGATTTGCAATTTAGCCTTATTTATCCGGCGTTTTTGCAGGCTCCCTATTCTGGGTGGGCTTCAGATACGTCTTTTACGTACTGCCGGGTATGTCTTGTTTTAGGAACTCTCGATTATCCTGGGAGGGAAGCCTTACTAATCATTAATGGACTTCTAGTGACCTACTCTACATCTCCTATACTTAATGGGCTTTTTGCTATATTTTTCCTCCTGACAACTTATTTCTACATATACTCAATGGTTGAAGACCCTGGGTTCGTTCCAAAACTTGACAGTAGAAACCAACAAAAAGCAGTCATTACGGAGCTCTTCGAACAGTGGAAGTTTGACGAAGAAAATTTCTGCGTTAGTTGCATGGTCCGAAGACCCTTGCGGAGCAAGCATTGCAAACGCTGTGCGCGCTGCGTTGCGAAACATGACCAGTGAGTATTTACTTGGCCGCCTGTGCAAGCCACGAGCTAAACCCAAACAGCCATTGTCCCTGGATTGATAATTGCGTCGGAGCAAATAACCTGCGCCATTTTGTTCTATATATTACCTGCTTGGAGGTTGGTATTGTCCTTTTCGTGCAGCTAACCTTTAATTGTAAGTTTCCACTTGCCTCTTCATTCGGATAAGCAGCCTAACCAGAATTGTTAGATATCAACAGCTTGCCAGCACCCACGCAGCCCCAGTGTAACGTCATTAACGAAACTCTTTGTGACTTCGTACTCCGTGATACGTTTACTCTTGTTCTCGATCTATGGGTATGCATTCAGCTGGTCTGGATCACCATGCTCGTCGCTGTCCAGATGATCCAAATTTCTCGTAATCAGACGACATATGAGAACATGAGAGGACATTCGGTTGACCGAAGCTATCCTAGCTCACGGGCTTTTGCCTCTGCAGTAGCGGCTGGGACAACGTCCCTCAATGCTGCCGGTCTAACGTCTTCTGGCCAAGGTCCAAATCCCGCCCTTACCCAGGGTGCTCCTCGCCATCGTAAACATGGTTGTTTGCAGCAATGGTCATCTCTTCTTGGTATAGATACATTCTTTGCTACTGCGCGAGATGGGCTACGTGACGGCCCACGTGCTGTCCGACCCAAAAACCCGTTTTCGCGGGGCGTTGTCACCAATTGTCGAGATTTCTGGTGTGACCCAGCTCCGTACTTTGGAAAACGAGAACCAGGCGCGGCTATGCTTGGTGGTGAAATGATCAACTACAACCGCATGTATGAGACTCCGTCCCGCATGCATAGTGGTGGTGGGTATCGGAGTCTAGCAGTCGAAGACCCGGAACAAGGTGTCTAAGCCTGAGTTTCCGTTGGTGGATGGCCAGATCCTAGTATGTGTTCCTGCGACCGGTTCTAGAAGCACTGTATTCTTCAAGCGCAAGTATTACGATGTTGGACGACACTGCATTGATACGCCTGGTTGGGTCAAATGTTCATGGAGGGTATACCTATTTACTCCTTTACTTTCCTTGTATTATGTTGTGCTTAACTATTTCATGTTGTGCTTTCCGTTATAGAGACTTTGCTGAGCCGAGCCGAGCCAGCTTCTATTTTTAATCTGCTCCCGTTAAGAATAAATCCCATCCTGTTTCCTTTGATATTGGTGCGAGCTGTGTAACAGAAAAATTCGATTTGCGTTGAAACGTCTTAACGTATTGCTTATGATAGCGTTCGGTTGGTTTGGGACGAGGTCAATTACTTAAGCGAGCGGGTCTGTTGATTTTACTCCGTAGTGTAAGCAATACAACTGTTAACAGCTCAGCGTTGAAGCAAACTATAACACTTCATAACAGATATACTTGGGCCAAGTTCACCACAGCCTAGACTGTTCTCATATCAACCTAAGGGCTAAGGGATAACAGAGCAGACATAACTCTTTAAAACCATGGTTAGGGCCAGATGCCAATATTTATGCACGTCATGGCAAAAAGGGGAGACGTGAATATTGGAGAAGGAAGTCTGGCCCAGTATAGTTCATTCAATTGTGCACGGGTGAGAGCCACAAAAACTAGGGCAGACTACTACTAGTACGCAGGTCTGCAGCTTTTCCTCGTAGAGAGCCTAATTCCTCGGCGCAATTCTACGAGGATAGATTAACATTTACCTATATAACCAAGGGTCCTCCTATTCAATCTCTTGCCTGCAGCACAAGTGCGATCGATCGGATATTACAACCGCTCTCACCTCCATCTACTGCCACCCTACCGACAATCCGAAACTGATGCACGGCTAAAACGCCCGAGTGGTCTACCACCATTCGTCAGGGAGAATCATCCTTGATCAATCCCGGATAGGTTAAGTTCCATACCTAGGTTCATTTCAACCATACCCGTCCGTACGCATACATACCATACGTATATACACGGAGCCGAAACATCCGATGTCGCAAGAAAACCCAGCTTTAGCGCAAAGTCAATTTGTCGCACTAAGATCTTATCTCGGAAGGAGGTTCTAAAACGGAAATTTTTTATCTGATTCCCACTGTTCTTCGGTTGTCATTACTTGAAATAACGGTTACCAGTCTGCGAGGAAATTCTGGGTCTGGCTTGCTGCTCGCTTAGATTGATTAGATGAAGTTCTATGCTTATATTGTCTTATCTGATGCGATTTATCCATGGTTGGAAGTATGATCCAGAACCAAGTACGAAGGCCGTGTAATCGACTCGCCTGAAACATCACTATCAGCCTTACTACTCCTCCGTAGCGCAGTCCCTGACCGTACCTGACATTACTGTGCCTATGATCATCCTTGTCGAAGTTGTAGATGGGCTGGTCTGGAATATGCGCATACTCCGTAGCTAGTCAACCACGCAGCCAAGGAACTAGCTATTTACCGGGTCGCAACCAAGCGAGACCTGCAGTAAAACAAGCGGAAGGGGAAGAAGTGAAAAAGGAAGGATGAGCCCAATAGTAATAATAAAGGTAATGATAAACTAAGGGGGAAAATAATTAAACTCAAATAAATAGATAAAAATTAATACACACACACACACACACACACACACACACACACACACAGAGAGAGAGAGAGAGAGAGAGAGAGAGAAAGACAGTCCCCTTCCCCAGAGCGAAATATAACACCAGAAATTCTGGTCTATAACGAGGAAGTGATCTGCGTTGTCGCTTTGGGCCCTTGTCCATGTACACCTCCATTTCATACTGTATAGGAAAATGTGATCATCATCGGGATATCTGAGACAGGTGATGTTCTCCGAGGCAGATGTGGGTGGCATGATGGTGTGTAAAATTCCTCACATTTCCATAAACGATCGAATGATTGAGTAATTTAGTTCCAGGTCGGGAATGGCTGGAGGAAGATGGGTCCAGAGGCATGGTAGGTGGGAACTGAGGATCCGCATTAAATTATCAATCAATAATCAATCGGTTACTTAACCAAGGAGTTAGGGTGTATCCCCGTGCAAAAGACCTCGGAAACCAAGCGAAAAGAAGCGAATCCACCTTGCATGAGCTAGTTAGTAGAGAGCGAGTGACTAAAATGTATCAATGCCATAGCCAAGAGCCAAAGAGAGTTTGCATTTATATTTAAAGAGGCGACTAAGTGTAAAAAGAGTAAAAAGAACGAAAAGGATAACACTTCTGCAGGTCCATCTCACATAAGGGGGGGGGAGGAATAAAATAAAATAAAAATAAAATATAACCCCCCACTCTTTACTCCTCGTAATCAATCAGTGGGGCCTACTTCCTCTGGCTTTTCTTATCCGGTGGGTGGCTCCTTGGCATCGGGCGAGCCCAAATAAAGACGTGGGAGAAAAGAGCCGGAGGCGCGCCAGCCTCAGCCATGGTTAATAGTCTTTGTTAATTTCCAGTTGATGGGACTGATTCGTATTTGTGGAATGGCGCCATCTGATAACGAAAATTTTTTATCTGATCAGATTATCAGGCGTCATCATCAAAATGTCCACCTCAACCAATGTCTTTTTCTTTTTTTCTTGTTCCCACCCCTTCCTTCCTCCCTCTCGTCCTTTGAATTTTGCTTTTCTGTTTACTGTTTTTATCTTATAAACTGAACGGTCTTTTCCTCTTTACCAAAAATTTTTTTTTCCTACTAATGATAATCCTGTAATATTCTGTATCATCTCGTCATCCTCTTTCCCGAGTTCCGGATATTTTCAGGGTGTTCTGTGCTGTAGTGGATATCCCACAATGACCAATGAACATGGCACCAGCGGGCCTGCGCCGGAGGTAACTTTGTGGCCAATTCACTGTTTAAGACACCCCTAAGCAGAATTCGAATTGGAATCTTTCATATTACGATGCTATCGTTTTTTGCTTCAATCTTTGTACATTTCTTGCAGAATAATTCATAGCTACAATAGTCAAACAAACATATACAAAAAAATATAATGTCATATATAGTCTATGCATAATAGAACAGGTATCCAACAAATGAAATATCGTATACCAGTGTAATAATTGTTCTGGTATGTTTCCCTTTCCTTCCTTCTTTTCTTTTCTTTCTTTTCTTTTTTTGCTCTCACTTTGTCCCTGGTGTCGATCTTTGGCTCACCCTTTCGTTAAAGAATAATCGTCTTTAGCGCCTAAAGCGCGTAAAAGAAGCGGGCCCAAAGAGATCTTCGACGCAACACACCTTTAATTCATAGGACTATGTCTTCCTTTATAGCATAGCGCGGATGTGAGTGGTGTCCGGCACCGTCGTTCCCGCAAACTCGCCTCCGAAGATCGAGTTCACCATCTCGCCACTGCGTGACGCTAAGATGGACAACAGACTGTCACTGAGTCCATGCGTTTGCTCGTTGCAACCTTGTAGCCAGATTCCAGCCTGCGCGTTAACCTTGCTCGGATCCAGCTCAACACGATATTCCCGGTTGGGAGTCCAGTCTTCCTGGCCCGCGGGGCGCAAGTGCTGTAAGTTCTTCAATAATTGCTCGTGCGCATTGCGGTTGTAGCCTGTAGCCACCATAAGTGCGTCCACCTCCAACGTTTCTTTGCCGTTGCCAACAAGGCTGTCCTTCTCGTCTTTGACAGCCCGAACATGAAGCCGCATCCGCCTATGAGGTCCGTAATGCTCAACTCGGGTGATCTTGCGGCCAGGGAGGATGCGATGTTGCCATTGTGTCTCATCGGGGTTTTGGACCCTCTGTAGGTACATGTCATTGAAGATTTGCTCAATCAACTCAAGTCGGACGACGCTATAGTTGGTTGCCTTGTCGGCCGTGAGGGAGCGCTGGCGTTCGGCAGGGGAAAGACCGAAGAACTTATCGACCCGTTCGGGGTTGAAGACCTCGTTAACACTACATTCTCCTTGTTAGTTATTGTTACCCCTGTTGTAGCGAGGAGTACCAAAGACATCCACTTACAATGGTGAATCATCACTGGGTCGCATAGCAGTGTCTCGCATAATCAGCGTCGTCTTCGAGTTGGGGTAGCGTTTTTGGAGGTCGTGGAAGATTTCCGCGGCACTTTGACCGCTGCCCAGTACAGCAATGTTGTAGGCCTCTCGGCTATCCTTCAGCATGGCAGGTAAAGTAGTACAGTACTTGGATGAATGCATAATCCTTGGGTCCTGGGGTAGCTCCTTGGGCAGCTTCGCAGTACCACCAATGGCAACGACAACCTTGCGTGCCATCCTGGTAGAGATCTCGCCCGTCTCTGAGTTCCGTGATTTGACCGTAAAGAAGTCCACGAGCGTGCTACTCGGGTTTGTCTTCCCGGGGGTCACTTCGATAACTTCTTCACCGTAGCTCACCACATGTGTGAATCTCTGCGCACACCACCGCATATAATCTTCAAACTCCATCCGAGCGGGGAGGAAGGTGCTCAGGTTGGTGAAGTGAATCAGACGGTCTTTCTGGTGAAGATAGTTGAGGAAAGTAAAGCTGCTGCGGGGATTCCGCATGGTTGCCAGATCCTTGATGAAGGAAATCTGCATCTTTGAACCGGGAACCAGCATGCCAGAGTGCCACGCGAATTGTTTCTGTCGCTCTAGGAAGCAGACCTTGGGCTGCCAATTGGAATTGGGAGTGGTCTTGTTCAGGCAAGGATCCATGGCATCGTGAAGAGCAATTGCAATAGCCAGCGAAGCCGGTCCAAAGCCCACACAGAGGAGATCGTGGAGTTCGTCCTTAGGTGTAGCTTTCAAGCGGGGTGGCTCTCCAGAGGGACGCTGTTGCGTGAGGGGCATCTTAGGATAGCTACGGGAGCCAATCTCTAGCTTCCTTTCCACCGGCTCCATGGATGAGGATTGAGTCGAATCTGGACGGTAAGAAGAAGATCGATAAGCGAGAGGAAAGAAATGAAACAGGTCAAAACGGGCAGGAAGTAGAGAGCTGGAATGAGAAGGAATTCAAGGTCCACGAGGAACGACGGGAGGGAAGAGTAGCTTATATGTATGGGGATAGATGGTACGGGGACCACCGTTCTAAATATTTGTCTGGGAAATTCGCTGAAAAGATTAAATTAAAATATATATATATATAAAATATAAAATAAAATAAAATAAAATTATAATAAATACA